TGTGCTGTGTGCAGTGCGTGCCGTGCGTGAGTGCGTGCGTGAGTGGTGTGTGTGTGTGTGTGTGGTGTGGGTGTGTGTGTGTGTGTGTCGTGTGTGTGCGTGTGTGTGTGCGTGCTGTGCGTGCGTGCGTGCCGCGTGCCCGATGCGGCGTGCAGCGGTGGTGCGTGCGTGCGTGAGTGGCGTGCGTGCGTGGGGTGTGTGTGTGTGTGTGTGTGTGTGTGGTGGGTTGTGTGTGTGTGTGCTGTGTGTCTGTCTGGTCTGTGTGTGCGCGCGTGTGATGTGGTGTGACGCGGTGTAGCGTGGTGGTGGTGGGTGGGGTAGTGCGGTGGTGGTGGCGGTGCGCGGTGGTGGTTCGCGTGCGTGCGTGCGTGCGTTGGTGGGTGGAAGTGGCGGTGGGTGTGCGTGCGGCGGGGCGGGGCGTGGTGCGGCGCGGTGGTGGCGGGCGGATGGGCGCGCGAGAAAGAGGCCCACGCTGGGGCGAGAACGCCATCCTCAACGACGGAGGCCAAACACCGATCCGAAAATGAGGCCCACGCTGGAGCGGGAGCACGATTCGGAACGATTCGGGAGCAGAAATGAGGCCGGCGCCTCAGCGAGAGCAGCATTTTAGAAAAAAAACACCAGCGAAAACCCAACTCCGGGGAATCCTGTGTGTAAAAAAACAATATGCGGGGGGGTGCCGAATATCTTCCGGACGCCATCAGGGGAAGTGGGAGAGTAGTTATTTCAATGAGTAAGTGGAAGGGGAGGAAGGGGAGGAAGGGGGGAGGAAGGGGAGGGAGGGATAGGGAGGGGGGAGGGGGAGGGGGAGGGGGAGGGGGAGGGGTGAGGGGGGGGGAGAGGGAGGGGATCGGCTGCGTCGTCTCGGCCTTGTGGGGGAGGATCTTCGGTGTTGCGCCGGTTTCTTCCATGGGTATCGCCTGCTTGCGCCCCTTGTCCGCTCTGCGTCCCGCGCCCTCACGCCTAGGGAAGCCCGTGGACAGGTACAGGGGATAGCTCTGGCCATGCGGATCCCGAGGAGGCAGCAGCATCGGTAGTTGCCATTGGTCTGACGTGGACTTCTCCGCACGCTGTGCCTCCTCATCCTCCTCCTCCTCCTCCTCCTCCTCCTTCGACGGCCGAAGTTTGATGAATGAGTCTTGAATTTGCTGGTGCGCCCGTGCTGGGTGCCGATGTTTTGGTGCCTTCAGCCTGGGCTCTCTTGGGAGCCTCTCGGGCCTCTCTGAAGCCTCCCTGGGGCCATGTGACGCCCAGAAGGGTCCCGGAAGGAAGCAGCACAGAAGGTCTTCAGGCCTTGAGGAGTCGTTTGCTTCCCAGGGCCTCGCGGGAGGCTCTTCGACTCTTCGGGGGCGCACCGTGGGACTTTTGGAGGCCCCCCCGACCTGTTGGAGCCATTAGGTGGTAGTTGCGCCGTCTCGTGCTCGTCCAGGATCTTCTTGCGTCCGCGTTGGGCCAGTTTGGACGTCGAGGTCGGCGCCGGCTGTTCTGAAGAGGGGGCGCGCCCGAAGGAGGGGGGGGGTCGCCCAGAGGGGGCAGCCAGAGGCGATACCGGCCAACGAACCTGGAGCTCTCGGCGTGGCAATTTTTGTTCGAGCCGGGCGTCATCGCCTGGCGTCGGTCCCTGGGGGGCCCTCATGGGTCGATCCAGCTCGACACGTGTCCCAGGCAGATGGGGCATGTTTCGTCCCAGGTGGCCCAAGAGGCTGTCTTGGGCCACCTGGGACGGTCTTGGGGCCTTTCTAGGCCTTATTAGGCCTTATTAGGCCCTCTTGGGGGGCTTTGAGGCCTTCTTGGGGATCTCTTGGGGGTCTCTGGGGCCGTCTTGAGCTGGCGGAGGCCCGCAAAGTCGAGGACGCGACAATCTTTCAAAAACCTAGGTGGTCTTTTTGGCCCGTCTTGGGGCCGTCTTGGGCCGTCCTGGAGCTCTTTGGGGCCTCTTGGGCCACCTGGGACGAAGCGAACGCCGAAGAGCTGGCAATGTTTCGACATGTTGCATTTTCTGCGACGTATGATCTCAAGGATTCCAAGTCACCCAAATGGCCGAGGGACGTACCGAGAACGGAAAGACAACGTCGGGCCATGTCTTGATGTTGAGGCTTGCTGCACGTTTTCGAAGGCTGGCGAGTCAGCAGGCCATCGGCCGAGCAGCGCGGTGAGGCAGGAGCTCCATGCCGGTCCATGCAGTACGTTGGTTGAGTTGTGGGCTTGTTGCTCCCCTCGGGGGTACGTCAACTGATGCGCACGCGCATGCTAGACATGGTGACAGTGGAGAAGAATGTCGTGACTGTCCTTGCCTTTGCTCGATAGACCTGGAGGTCACCACAACAAAGTTATCTACGACCACAACGTCGACTTCAACCACCGTATTGCAGGCCATCGTAGGGGCAGGGGGGCCTGACGACAGGGTTCTGAGTAGAAAGGGTCCAGCCCAGGAATATCTGCGACTCTCAACAACATCCCAGAATATGCAGCAAGTCAATGGTGGCACGGATGACCCCGACAATTCGCGCATGCCCCCTCTTTTGCGCCGCATGCGCCGTGCGCGCGGTTTTGAACGCGCGCGTGCGCCAATTGCGCGCATTGCTGTCACACCTCATTGAACTCAAACATCGATCCTCGATTCTCGAACAGCGACGACGACCACGACAGCTGCATTACCTTTGTAGGGCGTTGTGATCGGATCTGGTTCCCTCCTGCTCCTCCTCATCATCATCATCATCAACATCAGCAGCAGCAGCAGCATCAGCAACAACAACATCATCATCACCCCTCTCTCTCTCTCTCTCCTCCTCGATATTCTCTTTCTCCTGCGCCTCCTTCCTCTCCTTCTCATGCCCCTCCTCCTCCTTGCCACTCTTTGAATGCACGGTGCTCTTTTACCGGGCTGAGAAGTAAGAGGGTGAAACGCATCAGTTCGTTGTTACCCCCCCAAGGTTCATGAATGCGCTTCATTTTCCAGTGGATCGAACCGCAGTGGCGAGATCGAGCGAGAACACTCTCCTCCTCCTCCTCCTCCTCCTCCCTCGCCCTCCTCCTCCCGCTCCTCCTCATTCTGCTCCTCCTCCTCTGTCTCCTCCGCCTCCTCCTCCTCCTCCTCCTCCTCCTCCGCCTCCTCCTCCTCCTCCGCCTCCTCCTGCTCCTCCTGCTCCTCCTGCTCTTCGTCCTCCGCTCTCCGCCGCTCCTCAACCTGCCCGCCCGTGCTCCTTCCTCCCCCTCCGCCCCCCCCTCCCGCCCTCCTCCCTGCCTCCCCCCTCTCTCCCCTTCCGTCCTCCGCCCTGAGGGCTCCACCTTCTCCTTCTCCTCCGCTCCTCCCCTGTTCTCCTCGTCCTCCTCCTTTCCTCCCCCCCCCTCCCTCCCGTCCTCCCCTCCCTCCCTCCCCCTGCTCCCCCCCCTTCACCGCCGCGCGCTGCGGAGGGCATTCGCACCGCCCTCCTTGCGACCAGCCGGCGGGGTTTCTCACCCGTGGCCAGTGACCCTGGCGCTGGCCGGGGCCGAAGCTGACCGCCGCTGATGGAGGCTTCGTGCTTCAGGTTTGAAGCGATTTGGGGGCCTCTTGGGCCGTCCAGGGCGGTCGGCAGCTCGAGAAGGTGGTACCGCCAGAGTCGCTCGTGACGCAGGGCAACATCATGTTCTTGTTTTGCGCTTGCGGGGCCTCTCGAAGTCCTCTAGGAAACCTCCTGGAGCGTCTTGGGCGCTTCTTGGGCCGTCTCGGGACCACCGTGGGCCATCTTGGAACGCTCTCGGCCTCAAGCCCTCGGGCGTGCCATCTTTTTGGCGCCCCATTGGGGCGTTCGGGGGGGGGCCGCGAGGCCGCGCCCGGGAGTTCCGACATCTCTGACCCGACGTTGCCGGAATCTGGCCGGGACGTTGCCGGGGTGCGTTTCGTTTGCGGAGGCCCGCCGTTCCCGATTCAGCTTTTTGTTCCTGGCAGTGCCATGACTGTACGTAGCACGCCGCGGATGCGGATAAGAGTGAGAAGGCGGTGGGGACGTCGGCAGTCTACGAGACTCTGGGAAAGCCCGCCGCAGGCGCCAAAGTTTCACAAATTGGACAACGAGCCCGCCGCAGGCACCGACTTCTTCTTCAAACCAATGTGGATCGGTCGCGGGTGGGTCGCGAGTGGGTCGCGAGTCGGTCGCGGGTGGGTCGGTCGCGGGTGGGTCGCGGGTGGGTCGCGGGGTGGGTCGTTGGTGGGTCGGTCGCGGGGTGGGTCGCGGGGTGGGTCGCGGGGTGGGTCGCGGGTGGGCCGCGGGGGGGACGACGACAACAAACACCATGAACAACAACGCAGCAGAATCCTCACCACGGATTCTCACTTTAGCCACGCACCCAGGGACAATGAATGAGCAACATGTATGACAAAGCCAGCGTTTCGCTCGAGACATCCTCAACCAATTCTGACAAACAAGCGTTTCGCTGGAGACATCCGCAGCAAACGAACAGGTATATTCTACCCTGTGTTTGATCGATCGGGGCTTCAACCACACGCGTTTCGCCTCAGACATCCTCCTTGTTTGGCCGCTGGCCCGCCTCGACTGCGTTATCTTGTCAGGGCAGGAATCCGCTGGCCCATCCCCGCCAGGGCACTGGGGTCAACTCCCCACACCAAAAGAGAAGCCTGGTTGGAAACTGGAACATATACATTACCAGTGGCGGGCTGTTTTTCCAATCCCAGGACTTTTTGAGGGTCGGGGACGACCCTGGGGTGGTGTGGTGTATACGTTTTTGTCCCGATGTCCTGGGGAAACAACGAAACATGTATACACCAGGGTCCCGTATTCACCAGGATCCGCGCTCCAGTGCAAATTTCAATGTAGGGCCTGAAAAAGCGTCGGTGTATAGAGTTCGATTCTCTACCTGGGCCCAACGCCCTTTTGGGGAGAACTCCTGCCGGCGGATGCCAGGGCACCGAGTGCCGTTCTGGGACGCCGAAGTCGTGCGTGCCAGGGCTTACGCGGAGAATCACGGGCAGCGAATAGCCATTTTGTGTCAGGAGGCCTATGTTCAGCGACGGCGCTGGTGGTTCCCCCCACTTGGCGTCGCCTCCATCTTCCGACTGGGAGTCTTTCTCGATGAGCTCAATGGCAACAGCATGCAGCCACATCGCCTCCGAGGGCGAGGGCTACCTCAAGATCGCGAAGACCAAGGTCCGAGGCGGGGATTTCTCCACCACCATCGCCTGGGGTATCGATCTTCGGGGGCATCGGCAGGCGGTGGATGTGGATATGTTCGGGGGCCTCGGGGCCCACATGTATTGAGATCCACCGCCCTGGAGAGTCCCAGGGTATCGGTTCCGCAGGCGCTGGATGTGTGCAATCGCCGCCTCACGCAAGGCGCTCGACCTCAAGTGTGCCGCGGTGGCCCGTCTGCGGGGGGTCAGGGCCAAGACGGCAGACGTGATCTCGAACAGAGCCGTCCAGGTGAGCGGCGGAAGAGGGTGGGGTCGGTTGCGCGCGCAGCATCGCGCGAGAGCGCCTCCACGTCCGGTCGCGCGTCCACGCCCTCTCCGCGCGGTGTGCCACGCTGCTGGCCCGCGGAAGCCGCGGTGCAAGGTTGCTCACCCCAGGAAGCATTTAAGAACCCCCCCCCCTCCGGCAAATCGATCACCTTTCCGCACCATCATCCATATCCGCATCATCCGCATCATCATCATCAACATCATCATCATCATCATCATCATCATCATCATCATCATCATCATCAGCATCATCATCAGCATCATCATCATCATCAGCATCATCATCATCATCATCATCATCATCATCATCATCATCATCATCATCATCATCATCATCATCATCATCATCATCATCGTGTCCGGGTGCTACAGCTATCGTTCGGTTATTCCGGCCCCTCGGAATATCGAATAAAACATGCGGTGCTGCGATATCGCTGGGGGGGTTCTTAAATGCTTCCTGGGGTTGTGCCACCTCTTCTCCTGCAGGGCCCGCTTCTTCCGGCGGCGCGCTCGGGCGCGCCGCGAGGGGCAACGAGACGGAGCAGGCCCCGTCGGAGGGCGGCCGGGCCTCTCGACGGAGGCGCCCTCTGTGCCCTCGGGGAAGGCCTCGGGAGCCTCTCGGGAGGCCCGAGGCCTGCCGAGCCTTCTGAGAAGGCCCGCCTGGGCTCGCCGGGGGGGGGGCGGAGGAGGAGGAGGAGGGTAGGAGGAGAGGAGGAGGAGGGAGGAGGAGGAGGAGAGGAGGAGGAGGAAGAAGAGGAGGAGCGGGAGTAGCAGAAAAGGAGGAGGGGACGAGGAGGAGGAGGAGGAGGAGGAGGAGGAGGAGGAGGAGGAGGAGGAGGAGGAGGAGGAGCTCGCCGGCGCTTCTGCTCCTCGTCCAGGTGACTGCCGCCTCCGCGGTCGGTGGCGCCGTCCTCGCGGGCGGCGCCTCCGGCCTGCTGGGGCTCGCGCTCGGTCCCGCGGGTGGCCCCCGCGTACACCGCCGCCGTGCCCGGCGGGGGGCGGGCCTGGGCCCCATCTCGGGGGCGGAACAGAGGGTGTTGATGCATAGGCTAGGGGGGGGTGGATATCATGGCGGGGGCCTGGATATTTCCCCAGATTGCATGGCGCCCCTTCTTATTTCATTACGTCCCTGGCCCCCCGCTGGGCCGCGCACATGCCGCCAGTCATGATTTGCACCCCCCCTCTTGGACACCCCCCTCTTGGCCGCTCCCCGACCATCGGGCGTTGCGTGACCTCAGTCGTCTTTGGTTTGGTCCCCCCCCCCCTCCGTGTTTGTCTCGGCGAGGGAAAAGACTCGAGCAACCTCCTTCTCTCCTGCTCCTCCTGCTCCTCCTCCTCCTCCACCTCCTCCTGCTCCTCCTCCTGCTCCTCCTCGTCCTGCTCTCCTCCACCTCCTCCTCCTCCTCCTCAATCCTCATGCTCCGCCCTCCTCCTCCTCCTCCTCCTCTCCTTCCTCCTGCTCTTCCTCCTCCTCCTCCCCCTTCCCCTTCAGCTCCTCCTTTTCCATCTCGTCCTCGTTCGTGCTCCCCTCCTCCTTCCCCCCACTCCTTCTCCTCCTCCTCCTCCTCCTCCTCCTCCACCTGCTCCGCCTCCTCCCTCCTCCTCCTGCTCTCCCTCCTTCCTTCTTCTCCTCCTCTTCTTTTCCTCCTTTCCTCCTCTTCCTCCTCCTCCTCTTCCTCCTCCTCCTCCTCTTCCCCCCTCTACTCCTGCTCCTTCTTCTTCTCCTTCTCCTCCCCCTCCTCCTCCGCCTCCTCCTCCTCCTCATCCGCCTCATTCTTCTCCTCCTCGTTTTCATCCTCCTCCTCCTCCTCCTCCTCCTCCTCATCATCATCATCATCATCATCATCATCCTCCTTTTCCTTCTCCTTCCTTTGTCGTCACCGTCGCCGCGGATAACATGATTTTCCCTCGATTATTCGGCGGGCTGGATAATGTCAGGGGGCTTCTTTCTCCCATGGGAAATTTATCTGTTGGCTACCCTACACGCGAGAGGATGTATGATGGGCGTCTTCTCATCAGGATGGCAGACGACATCAGTGGTTGTGGTTGTAGTCGTGATTGTGGGCGCGGTTGTGATCGTGATCGTAATCGCGATTATAATCGTGATGGTAGTCGTAGGCGTAGTCGTCGTCGACGTCGTCTCGGCAGAGATTGTGGTTCCAGTAATCTTCGCCGCGCCGGAGAATGTTGCGTTGTTTCTCCCAGCAGATACTGATCTCTGGGCAACCCTGCACGACAGAGGAATGTTGAGCACGTTTGTAAAAGGAAATAAATATCGATCGACACATTCTTCGCCAAAGGCGTTGCTCACATTCTACTACTCGTAGTCGTAGTCGTAGCCGTAGCCCTAGTCGTATCGTGGTCGCAGTCGTACTCGTCATCTTCGTCGTCGTCGTCGTTGTGGCGCAGCGGGTGCCGCAGAGCAACAACTATTCATTTCCCATTACTGGTCGGACCAGTAGTCCGCCAATACGGCCGCCGAATAGATAATTCACTTCCAATCTTGGGGGGTTTTAAAGACTCATAGAGGTCCATGGGGGGCGATACAGTCGGGGCCCTGAAGAAGGAATCCTTTTCGTTGGTGAGGGGCTCCGTGTTCCTCAATTGTCTCGCAGTTTCCCTCAGGTGTTCCTCCGCTTCTTGATGGGACATCGACGCTTAACTTCTGGAGAAAAGGGGCCTCGTTCCTTATTTATCGTTCCTTGGGTCAACGCTCCAGCTGTACGTCCAGATGTGAAGTATGGGCGGTGGCACGCTCTTGCGCCGTCTTGTACGCTCGGGCGCGCTACCGCCCAGGGGTTCGGCCCCGAGCCAAGGGGTTCTCGGCGGTGGTGGCCCGCGTGTCTCCTCTGCCTGCTTTTCCTTCCTCCTCCTCCGCCTCCTCCTCCCCCTCCTCCTCCTCCGTCTCCTCCTCCTCCGCCTACTTTTCCTTCTCCCCCTCCGCCTCCTCCTTCTCCTCCTCCTCCTCCTCCTCCTCCTCCTCCTCCTCCTCCTCCTCCCCCTCCTCCTTCGCATCCTCCCCCTCCGCCTCCTCCTCCTCCTCCTCCGTGTCCTCCTGCTCCTCCTCCTCCCCCTCCTCCTCGTGCCCCAAGGGGGGGCCAAAAAAGGGGCACGACGCGTGCACGTCCTTCTCTCCGCCCCCCCGCCCCTGTCTCCACGTCGCCCCCTCCCCAGGGAGAAGCAGCGCCGTGGCACCCCAAAAGCTGGCGCGCCGAGAGCCCGACGAGCTGTGCTCCGTGCTGCGGGTCTTCGCCGGCACTGCTGCAAGTCGGGCCCCGTCCCTCTGCAGGAGGAATATCCAAAAGCACTAAAACCATCGTCGGGGGACGATGTCTGTTCTACTTTTGGGTATCTTGTTGTTTCGTTTTGGACTTCTTGATGTTTGGACTATGTCGTTTATGGTTGCACATGTTTGGACAATTTTCCATTTCTCGCCCAAAATCCGCCTGTAGGGGGACGTGCCCGACCTGACGGCAAGTGTTGCTTGAGGTCGGCACTCTGGGGCGGACAGCCCGGCCCCAAGACCTTCACAGACGGATCGGGCGACAGACCTGCCCAGAGGAAGGGGCCAGGACCCCTGCAAAGCCGCGGGAGCGGCGTCGCTCGGGAGCACCGTCGCTCGGGAGCACCGTCGTGTGGGCTCCGACGGATAGCGACCTGTGTCTGTGCTGACCGTGCCTGGCTGCGATGCGTTGCCGGCCGCACAGACAAATACACCGACGGTAGGACCCCACATGGGAATCTATCTAGCTTGTCCCTCGCCATGTTCTTCTTCGACTGGCGGAGGCCTTCCTTCTGCCCTGCCCGTCCTCCTCCTCCTCCTTGTCATCCTTCTCCTCCTCCTGTTCATTCCCGTCCTACTTGTTGCATTTCTGATCCTCTTGCTCTTCCGCCTCCTCCTCCCCCTCTTCCTCCTCGTCCTTCGCCTCCTCCTCTCCCTCCCCCTCCTCCTCGTACTCTTCCTCCTATTCGTCCTTTTCTTCCTCCTCCTTCACCTCCCCTCCTTCTCCCCCCCCTCATCTCCGCCCCGCCTGTTCTCCTCATGCACCTCTCCTTCCTCCTGGCAGGAGCGCGCGCGTCGGTTCTCCTCGGCGCAGTCGCCGCCTCGGCTGGCACGGGCGCATTTTCTAATGGCCGCATCGCGCAGCCATTGGGAACCCCCCCTGATACAGTGAGCGCTTGAATAAGGAACGCTTACTTTTCAAAAGGGGCTCGGTCGTTCCTTAGGCTTGCATGCGTTACTTATCGTCCCCTATGCGTTATGTATAATTTGCTCATGGTTCCTTACGCGTTATTCCTTGGAAGAAAGGGGCTTCGTTCCTTATTTATTGTTCCTTAGGTCAGGCCGATGACTGTACTCCCCCATATTCAGGCCTCTGGAGCCCAAAAGTGACGACAGGTACAGGATCCCGATGGACCGTTCGGAGTAGTAACACGAGCTGCTGGCCCCATAGGGAGGGGGGGGGCTCCCGCCTGAGACTTCCTCGCGATTCACCCACAGACGAGGCTCCCGCCTGAGACGACCAGCATACTCAAGCTTGAAGAGGCCAACAGGTACGACGTTTACAAGATTCCGATGCGCCGCTCGGATTAATAACATGAGCTGCGGGCCCCATAAAAAGGGGACACCCGCCAGAGATTTCTTGGCAATTCACGCACAGAAGAGGCTCCCGCCTGAGACTTCTGCAGCAATCAAGCTTCAAAACGCCAGAAGTGATTGCAACCCGATGATTCGCTCGGATTACCAACATGAGCTGCGGGCCCCACAGGCAAAGGGCTCCCGACTGAGATGTCCTTGCAAGTCGTTCACGGACGGGGCTCCCGCCTGAGACTTCCGCCACACTCAAGGTTGAAAAGGACAAAAGTAACGACAGATACAGGATTCCCGTGACCCGGTCGGATTAGTAACATGAGTTGCGGGCCCCATAGGGAGGGGGTTCCCGCCTAAGAGGTCCTCGCAATTCATTCACAGACGAGGCTCCAGCTTGAGACTTTTGCCATATTCAGGTTTCAGGAGCCCAGACATGCGAACAGTTACGCGGTTCCGATGACACGCTCGGAGTAGTCACATGAGCTGCGGGCCCAATAGGGAGTGGGCCCCCGCCTGGGATTTCCTGACAATCCGGATCCCGATGCTTTTTCGAACTAGTAAAATGATTTACGGGCCCCATGGGGCGGGGGCTCCAGCCTGAGACGTCCTCGCAATACACTCACATAAGAAGCTTCCGCCTGAGATAAGTGAGTGAATGAAGGTGATGCTGATGATAGCGATGGCGCTGATGCTTATGATGATGAGGAGGAGGATGTGAGTGAGTGAATGGGCGGGTCGGTGGGTGAGTGCGTTGCTGAGTGCGTGGGTGAGTGATGATGATGATAATGCTGATGATGATGATGATGATTATGATGATGATGATGATGATGATGATGATGATGATGATGATGATGATGATGATGATGATGATGATGATGATGATGATTGTGTGTGAATGAGTGGGTGCGTGAGCCGGGGATTGACTGTGTGTGCGATTGTGTGAGTGGGTGAGTGAGTTGGCGAGGGAATGAGGGTGAGCGATGATGTGTGCCAGTGGTTGAGTGAATGAGTGTGCGCTCGGAGAAGACGAGAGGTTGTGTTCTCTTGTTCCTGCGCGGAGGGTCTAGAGAACACAAGAATCCCACCTTGGGTGTGGGGAACAAAACGATGGTGCTGTGATGCTAATGATAATGAGAGATGGGGGGGTAGTTTTGAATGGAATGAATGAAAGTGGTCGAGAGAGTGTGATGACGAGTGGGTAGTGGTTGACTGTGAGTGTGTGTGTGTGTGCGCGCGTGGGACTGATGATGATGGTGTGAGTGATTGAGTGAATCAAAGAGTGTGCGACGGGAGAAGGGGAGAGAGGGCGAGGTGTGAGGATCCTACGCGGGGGGTGCGCAGAGAAAACAAGAAACCCACTTTGGCTGTGGAGAAAAAACTCCGCTGCCGCGAGCCGGAGAAAGCGTGTTGGCGAAAGTCATCAGGAGAGGAAGAGGCACACAGACACAATTAACTGTGGACTCCCTTGAGAACATGAGAAAATTATGGGAAGTTGGGGGAAAGCGAAAACCCCGTAAATGACTGAAAATATTTGGAATCCTAAGGTTCGTGTCTGTCTATTTGTATCCCTGGGCCCCTTCAGTGTTGGCGGAGGTCAGTGTTCATGGGACGTCGTGGCCTCGGCCAGGGTGGGACTATGTACGCCCGGGCTGGTCGAGCAGCGACGAGGCGTCCTGGCTTGTACATATCGGCGGCGAGCGAGGGGGGAAATTTCGAGGTTTGAACTTCGAGGTTTGAGGTTTGCGGTTTGCTTTCGTCGGCTCTCGGCTGTTCTCTAGCCGCGTGATGCTTGCCAGAAGCTGCGCCTCGACGAGGGCGTTCCATGGGTGCCCGGATCGTCCCGAACGGCCGCCGGAGGCCCGAATTATGACCCGAAAATTTACTCGGCGGCGAGCAAGGGGGAAAGTGAGAAGGAGAAGGCCTTCTCAGAAGGCCGCGTGACTTCTGAGAAGTTCCGCGCCTTCTGATAAGTTGTTTGTGTATTCGTGGAAGGCTTAGAAGCTTCTCAGAAGGCTGGGGAACTTCCGAGCCTTCTGAGAGGACCTTCTCTTTCTCGCTTCCCCCGCTCGCTCGCCACCGAATCCACCACAGAGTTTTCTAAGATCCTTTTGTCGTTTGCACAACGTGTTAACATTAGAGTTCTGGCAGAGACAGTATTGTTTTCGTGCATCGGCTTTCTGTTCTGAAAGCGTTACTTTGTTCTCACAACCTTCCGTTTGGCCCTGACGACATGCCGTGGTAGGATTAGGCGGCGGCGAGCGAGGTGGGGAAGTGAGAAGGAGAAGGCCTTCTGAGAAGGCGGCGGTGCCTATAAGAATCGCTCCGGCCTTCTGAGAAGATTGCTGTGTCTTTGGGGAAGGTTTAGAAAACTTATCAGAAAGTATGAGGGTATCCGAGCCTTCTGAAAGGCCCGCCCCCTCTCACTTCCCTCCCAGAGCTGGCCTCCAGTAGTGTTGTCCTCTCTTTACCTCCCCAGACCCCCGATGACATAATGTCGTCATAACGTCGACCCTTACTGGTCTCGATCTATTCTCAGGGGCCGGCTTTTCATTCTGAGATGTTTTTTATCCGACGGCCCCGAAGCCTGGCAAGGGCCCCCCAAAGCCGCAGACAAGGACAAACCTTAAAAAGGGCTTCCTTCCAAAAATACAGTCGAGACCCTCCCGCAGGGTTCCAGGAGACTGTTCGTAGGGTTTCGAGAGGGTTTTGGAAGGGTGTTCGTCGCTTTGGGGGGAAACCAGTCACTAGCGAACCCTGGGCTTCCTAAGAATAGCCCTCTGCCTTGTTTTTATATGTGACTCCCTGGGCTCGCCGCCGACCGACAGGAATGTTGCAACAAAGAACTGGAGGCCTCGCGCGGTTTGCAATAGCTGTATCCTCTAGTCCAATGTACAGTCGGGGCCCTGAAGAAGGAACCCTTTTCGTTGGAGAGGGGCTCCGCGTTCCTCAGGTGTTTCGCAGCTTGCCTCAGGTTTCCCTCAGGTTCTCGATGCGAAATCGAAGTTCGACTTCTGGAAAAAAGGGGCCTCGTTCCCTATTTAGGGTTCCTTAGGTCAACGCCCCGACTGCAATTCGGGTCTCAAGCTGCCGCGCTGGGCCTAACATATGCGAAAATAGGGGGACTCTTTTAATTTGTGTGTATTTATCTGTGTGTCCCAGATCCCCTTCAATCTAGTCCACTGTAACTCGGGCCTCAAGCTGCCGCGCTGGGCCTCCACGATTTCCTCCACAAGCATCGCGGCACGGTCGGTCCCTGCTCACGCTGGGGCCCAGGGGCGGCCCTGGCCGGGCGCCAGCGGAGGCGTGCGCGGGGCGCCTTCTCGCGTGCGCAGGCACCGCCGGCGGCGCGTCCGTGGGCGTGGTGCCGGCGCTCTTCTCGGCTGCACGTGGGAGTGGCCTTTCCCGGGCAGTGGCGGAGCCCCGAATCATCAGGGGTACTTCGGGTCAGGGCTTATTCGGGTTCCTTTGTCGGGAATCCAAACCCGAGTTACCCCGGACTCGAGTTACCCCGGATAACTCGGGCGCCCAACAGTGGCGAAGCGTCTCGGCTTGCCTACAGGTCCACCGAAGCTCGGGGGTTGATAGACCTCCTGCCCTGGCACGGCGATGAGCGACGTGGCCGTTTTCGGTTCGCGAGAGGGCGTCGCGGCCCTCATTTGTGCGGGTCCAGGTCCGTCGGTTTCGGTTCTGGGCCGTCTTCTTGAAAGGGAGGTTTACTGAAGGGATGCGTGTCCACCGCTGAAAAGCATGTTCTAAGAACCTTTTGTGGCCTGCACGAAAGGTTCTTAGAACATTTCTGACTGAGGCTGTCTTGTTCTAACCCATCGGGCTTATGTTCTGAGAGCTTGTCGGTGTAGGCCTGCAGGAATGCCGGGACGGCCGGTCCCTGCTCAAGCTTCGCCGTCGGGAAACGAGTCCTGGGAGAAACGGGTGTCGAAGCTTCTCCTCGTGTTCAACGGCTCAGGATAACGAAAAACTCGTCCTGGGGGGGAGCCAGCCACCACGGTCCAGGAACCGTTTCCCTCCGGACCCGTGCCCCCCGCGCTGACGTGCGGTGCGGGCACGTTGGGTCGGGCCGGACGAAAGGGGGGGATTGGGAAAGGGGGGTTTACGAAATTTGCTGCATGCAGCTGGTTTCGGCCCCACCGAGAAGCCCATTCCTCGACACATAGCCGCCTCCTGGCGCCGGGAGGCGCCGGAAAAATCAGCTGCGTGAGCTGATTCTCAAACCCCCCCTTTGCTATCCCCCCCCTTTCGCCCGACCCGATTGGGGTCCCCAGCTGGCCGCATGCGATGCGACAGCAGCAGCCTCCGCGCTCGGGGTTCTGGTACCTCCGCGCCCCTTGCGAGAGTCGCGCGCCGGAGGGTCCCCAGAGGCGTGGCATCGCTCGGACGTGTGCATTTTTCCTTCGGCGAGGACCATCGGGGAGCATCCTCGATCATTTGGCGAAAAAGCGACGCACGAAACCTAGAAACACACAGGAAATGAACGTCCGAGCGATGGCCAGCTCTTGCCCAGGGCCACTCTCGAGTGTAGCCGATCTTCACGTTCGGGCTCAGCATCCCGCTCTTCGCGGCGGTCGGCGGGGGGCTCTCTGGGCAGGAGAAAGGTGGGTGCTGGTACCGATGCCCGCGCCTCGCTGTCGCCTCGTCGGGCCTCCGGGAGGCACCATCGTCGCCACCGCTGGATTCGCCGTGAAATTCTGGTCAGGACGCGCGCCAGGAGAGGTCCGAGGAGTTGTGACCGCCCGAAAAAATAATGCACTCCGCGCGACCCCAAGTAGGGGAAAGTTTCCTATCGTATGGGCGCGGGGCTTGGCATTGCTATGCATTGCTTGGCTTTGCTTGGCATTGCTTGGTACTTTTTGGTATTGCTGGGCATTGCGTCGCATGTATTGGAATTGCTTAGCATTGCTTGACTTTGCATCACGTTGCTTGGCATAGCTTGGCATTGACCCCGAGGAACCCGCTTGGCATTGCTTTGCATTGAACCCGAGGAGCCCGAGGACCCGAGGAACCCGAGAAAACCAAGGAATCCGAGTAACCCGAGGAATCCGCGGAATCTCCGAGCAACGGGCAAAGTAGCCCCCCGAGGCACCGAGGGTGGGGAACCCGAGGAAATCTTTTGGCATTGCTTGGCATTGCCTGGCATTGCTTGGCACTGCTTGGCATTGCTTGGCATTGCTCGGCGCTGCTTGTCACTGCTTGGCACTGCTTGGCATTGCTTGGCATTGCGTGGCACTGAGTGGCATTGCGTGGCACTGCTTGGCATTGCTTGGCACTGCTTGGCATTGAACCCGGGGAGGAGGAGGAGGAGCAGGAGGAGGAGGAGGAGGAGGCAGGGCGAGGAACCCGAGGAACCTCCGAGGAGTCTCCGAGTGGGGCGAGTGGGGGGGGGGCAGGCGCCCCCCGACACCCTTCTCCTCCTCCTCCTCCTCCTCCTTCTCACTCCTCCTCCTCCTCCTCTCCTCCTCCTCCTCCTCCTCCCCTCCTCCTCCTCCTCCTCCTCCATCTCTTCCTCCTTCCTCCTCCCCTCCTCCTCCTCCTCCTCCTCTCCTCCTCCTCCTCCTGCCTCCTCCTCCTCCTCCTCCTCCCCTCCTCCTCCCTCCTCCCCCTCCTCCGAGCCCCTTTCGGCAAGCCTAATCTGGGAAGTGCTGCACCCCAAGGCCCCATGGGGGCAGGCGAGGGTCCTAGTCGTGGCTTTAGCCTACACAAAATTGCCCCCCCGGGCCGTGGCCCTGGGCCGTGGAGTCTGACCGGGGCAGGGGGGGCGTGGTATACCACAGCATCTTGAGGACAGCGGCATCGCTTCGGCGTCACCCAAGCAGACGAATAACAGAGAGGGGGGATCCCCAGAACTACAGGGGGGGGGGAGCCCCAGAACTAAAGGGGGGGGATCCCCAGAACTACAGGGGGGGGGAGCCCCAGAAGTAGAGATCTCCCTCGGATGCTCTGCGGGCGAGGCGCGCCCCCCCAAAAGCTGATAGCCAAAGCTCTGTGGAAGGCGCTCTCTGGCCATACCGCCCAGGAAGCGCGACATTACAGGACGTTTGTGCCATTTGCTCGGGTCGGACGCATGCCTCCAAGGAGGACACACGTCAGAGCGTGAATTATCTACCCCGGTTTCGCTTCCAGGAAAAACCAAGTCATACCACGCGCCTCCTCGTCAAGCGGCCTGACCAGTACAGGCCGTAGTTTGGCATCGCTTGGTATCTCTTGGAAGCGAGGGTGGTCAAAAGCGAGGTAGGTTTGTTTGCCCCCTAACACGGGACGTCCAAAAATGGGCCTTGCCTTCGAGCATCGAAGGAGTTGACATCTCTTCCTCGACGGAAGGCGGCGGCGGGTCGGCGGAGGTAGAACGAGGCCGCCTCCGCCGGCGGAAGCCAGCGGAGGCTCGGCGGAAGGGCGGCGGAAGCGAAACATGTGCCCCCAAGAGATGCAAACGTTTTTGGGTTCAGGGTTTTCGAAATCGCCCACGCAGTACAGCGGAGGCCCATGCCAAGGAACACCCTGCTTGCCTCCAGGGTGCCCTTTTGGTTCCCTGGGCTTCGATGGCTTTGCTGTGGAAGGCGTGACGCTCCCACACCAGGAAACACAGGACGTCCTGGGGTGTGAGGGTTGGGCTTCTTGTGGAAGGTTTCTTGTGGTCGGGCCCCTGCGCGGGGAAACCAAAAGGTACCCATACCGCTGCTCCCCGCACCTCTCCCGGGGTGCGTCCTGACCAGGGGGTCGAGGCGAATCCGGCGGTGGCGACGAGGGCCGCCGAGGAGGCCCAGAAGGGGGAGAACGAGGGAAGGGTAGAGGCGTGGGTAGCTCTTCCTCCTCCCCCTACCCTGTAGTAGGAGTGCGGCCTTCTGTGTCCCGTGGGCGACCGGTGGCTTCCCCAGGCTCGGCCTCGCCGTGGCCCTGCCAGCGGGCGGCGCCGCGGGGGCGGTGGGCGGCGGTGCCACGGGCTACGCTGCGTACAGCAAGCGCGCGGAGATCACGAGCTTCACGGGCCAGGGCTACGCCAAGGCCGTCCACAAGAGACGCCTGACTTTCACTCGGGCCTGTCCCTCTACAGGGGGCAGATTCAAAGATACTCGCACAATAGTATGGGGACGCTTTGTTCACCATGTCTGAGCAATTTTTGAACTTTGGTGGGGTACTGTTTATTTGTAGTCCAAGATCCCCCTGCGGGGGGGACACGCCCAACCTAAGCCTAACTCCGCACCACCACTCGAAGCCAAAAGACAATGGTAATGATGAGAAGAGCGTTCAGATAGGGAATGATGGTACATGCGCATCACAAGAAGAAGCATCGAGAGAACTGTTCGCATCTCCACGCGGATTTCTTGCAACGGCGCAGGGTCTGGCGTCGCCTCTGGCGACTCTGGTGTCGCCCTTGGCGCGCTCCGCGCGCCACGGACGGGGCCCGGTGCCGATCCAACACATCCGCGCGGACCTCTGGAAGTTGGCTGTGCATGCCACAGCGAGGGTGCCGAACGGCCATTCGCTGCTCCAGAGTGCGTGGCTGCCACAGGGCTCCGCGGCGCGGATTGGATGTTGCTGGTGTTGAGCTGCGTTGTTGTCGCCGTCCTCGCCCGCGGCCCGCCCGCGACCCACCCCGCGACCCGCCCGCGACGTACCCCGCGACCCACCCCGCGACTCGCCCTGCGACCCACCTTGCGGCCCGCCCTCGCTGACGAAGCAGTCGGCGCCGCGCGGCGGGCTCGTGGTGTAACGCCGCGCCTCCCCGCGGCGGGCTTCTACTTACAGAGCTTCGCAGACTGCCGGCGACCCCGCCGCCCACTCACTATTTATTATCAGGAGGAAAAGAAACACACAGACACAATTAATCGTCGATCCCCAGGGAAATGTTGGAAAATATGGGAAGTGGGCGGGAAGACAGAAACCCTGAAAATATTGGAAAATATGGGGAATCTGTTTATTTGTGTGTATTTATTTGTGTGTCCCAGTTCCCCTTCATATTACCATCAGCTGCGGGGTGCTATGGTAGGTTCATCGTTCTGACTATGCCTGGCCAGGGCCTTCCTTAGCCGCAGGGTGGTGTGCAGACTTTGCCGCGTGCCAGCGCGCAGGAGGGCCCTAGGCTGGTCGGGTACGGTGGTACTAGTACACGTGTGTGTCGCCCCTTCGCAGGCCAGGAGCACCGCGCAGTCGGCGTGGGCCCGCGTGGCCTCGAAGTCCGAGGCCGCGGTGAAGTTCGCTGAGGCCAAACGGGAGAGCGCCAAGGCCTTGGCGCGGTCCTCCATCGACACCACCCGGCAGAAGGTCGGGGAGGGCTGCGAGTGCGCATCCAAAAGCCTGGCGGCGGCCAGGGCAAAGGGCATCGAGCTGGCGTCCGACCGCAGCGTCCAGGTGGGCGCCGTGTCCGCTGCGGGAAGCGCCGCCGTCTGTGGCACTGCAGGAGGGGTGGCTGGTCTGTGCACCGGCACCGTCGTCGGCGGCGCCATCTAGAGGACCGAAGGAGGGCAGAGGCGCAGAACCCTTGGGGTCCGCGCGGACTTCTGGTGTCGCAGAGGAGGAAGCACATGTACCGATGCCGCTGCCCACGTCGCCACGGCTGGATTCGCTTCGAAATCCTGGTCAGAACGCACCTCGGGAGAGGTCCAGGGAGTAGTGGTCCCCCTCACTGGAGGGAGGAGCAGCGACACCAACACCACCATGGGCCCAGCTCCTGCGAGGAGGTCCACGATGCCTCCCCGAGCTGGAGGCTGGGGATATCTCGAGCGAGAGGGGGGAACCACACCACCAGGGAGACGCCCCTTTAGGAGAACGAAACATTTCATAAACACATACGAACTCGGAGGTCCGCGCGGATTGCTTGGATCCGTGGATGGCGCCGCCAGGGGGCCCCATCGCCGATCTGAGAAATCCGCGCGGACCTCCGAGTTGTTATGTTCATGTCATTGTTCGTTTTTCTACCCTTGCCTGATGGACGGACAGCACACACACACACCCATACCCATAGGAGGGTCGGAGGGAGGAGGGCTGTCTATGGGCACGGGTGCGGGTTGTCGGACCCTGGGGGACGCGCCCGTTCGGACGGGGATCCCCATCCGACCGCGCGCGCCCCGCGAGCCCCAGGCGTCCCCCCGCAATTCCTGCCCTGGGCGCGTGCTGCTCGGTCGTTGTCACAGTTGCCTCCGCGCAGCTCCTCGCCCTGGTGGTGCTGCTGTCGCCCCGTCGCCCGGCTCAGGCCCCCCGTGGGGAGGGGCGGCGCCTGGCCCCCCCTCCGCGGGGGGGCGCGAACCCCTGCGGGGAGCCCCCGGGCACGGGCCCCGGAGAGATCCTGCGGAGGCCTCGGGCTGGCGTCGAGTCGGGCCTGTCCCCCTACAGGAGGCACATCAGCATCGTGTAGCCGATCCCCCTCCCCCGAGCTCATCCCCTGCGAGACCCCCCACCGAATCACACCCCCAGTCGGGGAGACACGCCTCGAAAGGCCGGAGGGTACGGCCTAGATCCCAATCCTGGGAGGTAAATCGGCCAGAGGGGTCCAGGCCACGCCGCTGGGGATGGGGATCGGTTGAACGATCTCCAGAATATTCAAACATAGTTTTATGATGTTCGCAAGAGCGCGTTCTGTGGTCACTTGGAGGGGGAGGATTTGGAACTGGACCCCTCCCCGCCCCCCCCCCCCCCCCCTCTCTCCCTCTTCTCGGCTGGCAGGCGGCGGCGGGGGACGGACGATTTCCTTTTCTGGGCCGGCGCCAGCGCCCGGCGGCGGGCGGCGGCGGCGGGGAGCGTCGACGAGGACGACGGTGGTGTGGTGGTGGTGGTGGTGGTGGTGGGGTGTGGTTGGTGGTGGTGGCGGTGGTGGTGGTGGTGGCGGTGGTGGTGGTTGTGGTGGTGGTGGTGTGGTGGTTTGTTGTGGTGGTGGTTGTTGTGGTGGTGGGTGGTGGTGGTGGTGGTGTTGTCGTGGTGTGGTGGTTATTTGTGGTTGTGGTGGTGGGTTGTGGTGGTGGGTTGTGGTGGTGGTGGTGGTTTGGTGGTGGTGTGGTCGTGGTTTGTGGTGGTGGGTTGTGGTGGGTTGTGGTGGTGGCTGTGGTTTGTGGAGGTGCTGGTGGTGGTGGCGGCGGTGGTGGTGGTGGTGTGGTGGTTTGTGGTGGTGGTGGTGGTGATGGTGGTGGGTTGTGCTGCTGGTAGTGGTTGTGGTTGTGGCGGTGGTGGTGGTGGCGTGGTAGAGAGTGGGTGGTGGTGGTGGTGTTGGTGGTGGTAGTGGCGGTGGATTTTTGTGGTGGTGGTGGCGATGGTGAGTTGTGGTGGTTGTGGTTGTGGTGGTGGTGGTGGCTGTGGTGGTGGTGGTTGTGTGGTGGGTTGGTGGTGGTGGTGGTGTTGAGGCGGTGGTGTGGTGGTAGTGGTGGTGGTAGTGGTGGTTATCGTCGCTGCGTCCCCGCCGTCGCCGGCGCCAGCGCCGGCGTTGCTGGCCGCCGCCAGCGCCGGCGCCGGCGCCAGGGGGGGGGGTTGAACCCCCCCCCCCCCCTTGGGGCTGCATCTGGTCATCGTCGCTGCGTCCCCGCCGTCGGCGCTGCTGGCGGCCACCGGCGGCGCCGGCGCCAGGGGGGGGGGGGTCGAACCCCCCCCACATTTGGGAGGGGGTGGGTGGGGGGGGGGGTCGGGATTGAGGGGAGAGGGGGGGGAGGGAGGGGAGTCCCCCTGGTTTTGATTGACGGCGTCGAGTATTTGGGGGGCGGGCCCACCCCCAGAAACGCGCCGCCGAATGTTCCGAAGGCAAGCGCCTGTGAAAGGCGTTCTCTCTGATGTTTCAACCTGCAATGGCCTTGATCACCAGACAGAATTCCGAGCACCAGAAACAGTACCGAGACTCGAGGGTTTTCACGTGTCGGGCCCTGGGAGACTCTTCCGACACTGTTTCGGCACTGGTTCGACACCTTGTCGACACTTTTCTGGATGGTCGAACATGTTTGTGGGATGTGGTCGGTAAGTACGATGGGAGGGTATGGGGACGATTTGCGGACCATTTCTGGACATTTCTTTTTTGTTATGTTCTTTGTTGCGTCCAAAAGACGCCTGTATGGGGGACACGCCCGACCTCAGGTTGGCGATCCGAAGATGCGGGCCCGATATTGGGATGAAGTCGGGCATGTCTCTCTACAGGAGGGAGGTTTCAGAAGCCGGGGGCGATGTTCCGATTCGTTGCGACACTGTTTCAGCATGTTTTAATTAGTTCTTGATCTGTCCCCAAGAGCTGCCTGTACGAGGAGGACGCGCCCGACCTACAGATGGAACCTCCGGGCGGCGGTCTGGAGATGGGGCCCTCAAGTGTAGGAGCGGGCCCAGGGTTGAGTTTACGTTTCTCGAGGAGGAGGAGGAGGAGGAGGAGGAGGAGAAGGATGAGGAGGAGGAGGATGATGAGGAGGACGAGGAGGGAGGAGGAGGAGGAGGAGGATGAGGAGGAGGAGGAGGGAGGAGGAGGAGGAGGAGGAAGAGGAGGAGCAGGAGGAGGAGGAGGAAAAGAGACCCCCGCCCTCAGGGCCCCACCCTCTTCGAAGTGCCAGTCTGGAGGTTTTTGCCCTCTTGCCGCCTTCTGTTCCTCTGGCCATCGGCCTCGTCCCCGCCATCTTCACGTTCGGCCTCTCCATCCCGGAGGAGGGCCAGTTGAGACAGCGGCGGCCCTTCCGCCCAGCCCTACTCTCGGGGGCGGAAAAGACGGGGGTGTTGACTAGGGGGGGGGGGATACCATGGCGGGGGCCATGATATTTCCGCAGATTTCATGGCGCCTCTTCTTATTTCGTTACGTCCCTGGCCCCCCCGCTGGGCCGCGCACATGCCGCCGGTCATGATTTGCACCCCCCCTTCTTGGACACCCCCCTCTTGGCCGCTCCCGATAATCCGCTCAGCATCGCTCCCCCAGGCCGCTTCCGGGGTCCACCCTGACCGCGTTCTGAGGCGCTTCCCGCCGCGGCGACTGGACGCCTCCAGGCAGCCCCAGACTCCCGACGTCGTGATCTTTCGCGGACGTGGGCCCCTGGAGGTCTGTCCCCTTCCCGGGGGCCGGCCTTTCGTCCTGACTCGTTTTCTTACGGCCCCGAGGCCCGGTAGGGGCCCCAGATGCCGAAAACAGCGGGAAACCGTCTGCCGTATTTTTGTTGGCTGCACGACGCGAGGGGGGAGCATGGCACGCACGGAGGGAAGTCAGCGAGAAGGTCATTGGACCCGGAAGCGGAGGCCTCTAGACTGCCAGCGATGAGGCCATGACGCCTTCTTGATGTTGGAGATGGCTCTGGGGCACACTGGTGCCCACCCCGTCCCGTCTCCGGGGACTCTGCTCAAATCGGGCATGTCCTTTACAGGCGGAAAAATTGAATAGAGCCCAAAACTAGTGTGAGGATGATTTGTCTTTATGTTTTGACTATGTGGATGCATTTTTGGTACATGTTTAATGTTTCGCCCAGAATCCGCCTGTTGCGGGGGGCATGCCCGACCTAAGACTTCGCATCCTCCTACAGGATGGGATGGTGGGATTTGGGGAGGCGGTGCGCCTCCCCGGGCAGTGCACGCCGTGTGCCTGGCTCGCGCTCGCCCCCTCGGGAGCTTCCCTCCTCTCCCTCCTCCCTCAAAAAAGTGGCGATGAATCTCAGCTTTCCTCCTCCTCCTCCTCCTCCTCCTCCTCCTCCTCCTCCTCCTCCTCCCCCTGCTCCTCCTCCTCCTCCTCCTTCTCCTCTTCCTCCTCCTCCTCCTCCTCCTCCTCCTCCTCCTCCTCTTCCTCCTCCTCCTCCTCCTCGTTGGGGTTGTGGCGAAGTCTCTGGCGAAGTCTCTGGGTGTCCCTTCCCTCCCCTCACTTTCCCACTCGCTGGTGCCCCTGGCGCGGCGGCCTGCCTGGTCCGTCGGGAAAAAAAAACGCCAGGGACCCAGGGATCCGCAGGAGGGGACAGAAACACACAGACACAAGTAATCGTCGATTTCCAGGAAAATATGGGAAACTATGGGAAGTGGGGAGGAAGACAAAAACTTAGAAAATATGTGAAAATGTTAGGAATCCTTTAATTGTGCGTATATATTTGTGTGTCTCAGGGCCCCTTCAGATCCGACATCTTGATGCTGGCAGTGCGGGTCCCCAGAGGTCATGGCCCCTTTCCCGTGGACGGGTGTCAGCCCGAGTCCATCCATCACGCTCCCGCGGCCCAGCGAGGGTTCCCGGGAGCCGAGCATGGCGCAAAGCCAATTGGGTGCCCTCGACCTCCGCCGTCCGCGGCTTCTGGACGGCAGATGCCGCGCAGCGTCCGCCGCCAGCGCAGCCGCAGTGGCGGCTGGAGTCGAGGCCGCAGTGGTGGTCTCGGCAGTCCCCGCGGCCGCGCCGCGGCGGCACCTGCTGCACGGGAAGGTTTTGCAGGTGGAGGTCGAGGGTTGGAGGGGGGGAGCACGGACCTACAGCCACCGTGTTGACATAATTCGGATAAGGAACGCACGAGAAGGATCGCCAGGGCTTGGGGAGACCGTGGTTGGCAGCAGGGCCCCAGGGAGCCACACGGAATATGGGGCCCGCAGTGATGGGGTCAGGAGGGCGCTCAGGAGAGCTTACGTCCAGTCGAGAAGTGTCCAGATGGGGCGGAGACAGGCAGGTGGAGGCCGAGGCTGGTCCTAGAATGATGAAAAATGGCATAGGCACAGCAACTCGGAGGTCGGCGCGGACATCTCGGATCCGCGCTGGACCCCCCTCCCTCCCGGGCGCGCGGAGCGCGCCAGGGGCGGCGCCAGAGACGCCGCCAGGGGGCCCCGGCGCCGATCCGAGAAGTCCGCGCGGACCTCCGAGTTGTTATGATGGGCCTGTTTTCCACCACCACCACCACCACAAGTTGGAGGGGGGAGGGAGGAGGTCCTCCTCCCCCTCTTCTTTCTTATTCTAATTTTTATTTTTATTATTCGACTTCCTACTCTTTTCATGATTCGTATTCTTCTTATTCTAATAATTAGTATTGATACCTGTCTTCTTACTCTGATGTTTTATTACTATTCTTACTCGTCTTCTTCCTCATCCTTCTCCTCCTCCTCCTCATCCACCTCCATCCCCCTCCAACTTATGGTGGTGGTGGTGGTGGAACACAGGCCCATCATTCTATGCTTACGTCACTATTCGTTCCCCGATCGGTCCCTCGGGAGAGCCGCCCCGCCGCTGTCTCGACCGGCCCTGCGCCGGTCCCTCCCGATCGGCGCGGCCCTCGGCGGCGGCTGCGGCCTGCTCGCCGGCGCGGGCGCGGGCGGCGCCGCGGGCCTCGTGGGCGGCGGCGCCGCGGGGTACACCGCGCACTCGAGGCGCGAGGCGCGCGCAGAGGGGGGGTATATATATATATATATATAATATATATATATATTTAAAACGACGCGAAGATCGGGACAAAATCGGATCGGGATACCTCGAAATCTCTGAGAATCGGCGGGTTTGGAGGATGTATTGGGCGCCGCGGCCGCTCCAGAGCGTTCCGGAACGCTCTGAGAGCGCTCCGGAACGCTCTGGAGCGATTCATCCCGATCCTAGCCCTGTTTTAGGGTAGGGGGAGGGGGGAAGGCTTCTCAGAAGCCCCCCTGCTTCTCAGAGGGCGCGGGCCTCCTCCACACATGTGAGGCCAGCGCCTCTTTAAGAAGTGGCCCCCTTCTAAGAAGCCTTCCTCAGAGCCCCGAATCATCAGGGCTAGCTCGGGTCAGGGCTAACTCGGGTTCGTTTTTCGGGATTCCGAACCCGAGTTACCCCGGGCCCGAGCTACCCCGGATAATTCGGGCGTCCAGAGCCCCAAATCATGAGGGGTAACTCAGGTCAGGGCCATCTCGGGTTCGTTTTTGCGGGGATCCAAACCCGAGTTGCCCCGGGCCCGAGTTACCCCGGATAGCTCGGGCGTCCGACTTCCCCCCTCCCCCTACCCCTCTCTGCGCGCCGCCCAAGAGGCGCGAGGACATCGGCGTGAGGGTCAAGGACACCATCTCGAAGGTGAGCGACGGAGCCCGCGGGCGGGGAGCACTACTCTCGGAGGAGGAAGAGGTACCCAAACCGATGCCTTTTCTCTCGTGTTTTGTTCCTTTTGGTCGGCCTCCTGGGAGGCCCACGTCGCCACTGCTGGGTTCGCCTCGGACTCCTGGACAGAACGCACCCCGGGAGAGGTCCAGGGAGTAGCGGTATGGGTACCCGTTGGTCTCCCCAAAGTCTCGCCGGGGAAGCGTAGGGCTCGTGTGCGACTGGGCTCGGGTTTGCTGGCGCTCTCTGCCGAGTGCGTCCTGGGTTTTGACGTTCCAGTTTTCCGTGGGATGTTTGCAGCGGGAGTTCGCGTCAACTTTCAGATTGGGTCTCGTCATGTTCATGATGGCCCCGTCAGGCCAACTCGTGTCCCCCGAGCCCGAGTCTTACGTCTCCCCGATCTAGGCCTCCCAGATGGGGTCGGAGTTGATGGGGTCGGAGGATCGCGTCGCGTCGCCGATGTATCGGCGATGCGGCTCGATGAGGAGCCCGATGCTTTCCACGCAGACGTCGCCAGTGCATCGCAGGCGTCGCCGATGCATCGGCGATGCATCGGCGATGCTGCGCGATCCTCCGACACTGTGTGCTTGGACCACATATGGGAGGCCTCTGTTACCCATCTAGAAGGCCTCTGCCTCTGCGACCCATCTAGGAGGCCTCCTTGACCCATGTAGGAGGCCTCTAGCACTCTTGCAAACAGTCGCACTAAGCAGAGATCTGGAGCCAGACCCCCCCCCCCTCCCCCCTTTTGCGCCCAATGCCGAAGCGCCGAATGAACAAAACGCTCACTTCCAACTTTATGTGAGGTGAAACTTAGCATCGGCATTGGTAACTCCCTGGTCGAAGACTGGTTGGATTCCGCGTAATCCGCTTTTGCCCCGCCTGATCCAGTGTTGTCCCGCGTCAGCCAGCCTAATCCCGGGCTTAGTCCAGCCCAATCCCGCTCAGTGTCCCCTCAACCGAGGTTGGCCCTTCATCTGTCGGACGAAGACGTCCCATGAGTAGTAACCTCCGAATCGAATGTGAACGACAGCTCGTGGGCGGGTAACATGTCTGGTTTGGTTCGAGGTTCCAAGGTTTCGTGCGTCCCTGTGGATGTCAGACGATGTGATCTGCTCACCCCTGCCATTTATCCCAACCGTCCTGTGGTGTTGGGCCCTCGTTTTGAAGAGACAGCGCCCCGCGTTCCTTCCTCCTTCCTTCCTCTCCTCCTCCCTCCCGCTCCTCCCGCCTTCCGTCACCCCCCCTCGCTTTGGCACACCCCTCACACGTTTCGTGGCCCCGTAGGGAGCTCCACCCAAGGCCCCGGTGCCACCGTCCACATGCGTCCCCCACACCAGTTTCGGCACATCCCTCACACGTTTCGTGGCCCCGTTGGGAGCTTCACCGAAGGCCCCAGCGCCTCCGTCCACATGCGTCCCGCACACCCATTTCGGCACACCCCTCACACGTTTCGTGGCCCCAAAGGGAGTTCCACCGAAGGCTCCAGTGCCACAGCCCACATGCGTCCCCCGCGTCCATTTCGGGACACCCCTCACACGTTTCGTGGCCCCAGAGGGAGCTCCACCGAAGGCTCCAGTGCCACCGTCCACATGCGTCCCCCATGCACACTTGGGCACACCCCTCACACGTTTCGTGGCCCCAGAGGGAGCTCCACCGAAGGCTCCAGTGCCACCGTCCACATGCGTCCCCCACACCAGTTTCGGCACACCCCTCACATGCTTCGTGGCCCCATAGGCAGCTCCACCGAAGGCCCCAGTGCCACCGTCCACATGCGTCCCCCACGCACATTTGGGAACACCCCTAACACGCTCCGTGGCCCCGCAGTGGGCTCCAGCGAAGGCCCCAGTGCCACAGCCCACATCCGCTCCCATTTCCCGAGGCGCAGCGAGGGCTCCTTGGGCGGCCGAAATCACAGCCCGAAATTCATTCGCTCCGTTTTTTGGGGGGAGCGTCGGATCGTTGGCATTGTTGAGTTCAGGGTCTCTGGCATCGGCCATATTTCAGGCGATCGCAAACATGGATCAGGGGGGCGTGGATTAGCGGCGGGTCCCGTTTCCATGGGAAATCGCGGATTTCCCCCGTCGAACGAGGCGGCACCGGCCGCATTTTGGGGAGGGCGCCTCCCCCGATCCATGGATTTGGCGACCGCGCGCCAAATCCATGGATCGCGGATCCACGTTTGCGCGCCACCGAATATTCAGATCAGATCCACCGCCCCACGCCCTGGTGGCCCCTCGGCCGCGACAACCGCGGACACTGGACGGCCCTGCGCAGATGCCAGGCGCGGAGGAGGAGGAGGAGGAGGAGGAGAAGGAGGAGAAGGAGGAGGAGGAGGAGGAGGAGGAGGAGGAGAAGGAGGAGGAGGAAAAGGAGGAGGAGGAGGAGGAGGAGGAGGAGGAGGAGGAGGAGGAGGAGGAGGGGAGGAGGGGGAGGAGGGGAGGAGGGGAGGGGAGGGGGAGGGAGGAGGAGGAGCAGGAGGAGGAGGAGGAGGAGGAGGAGGAGGAGAAAGAGGAGGAGGTGGAGGAGGAGGAGGAGGAATACTAATAATGGTAATGACCATATTAATACATAATAAGACTAATACTACTACTACTAATAATAATAATTTAAAGAATAATAATAATACTAGTAATATTAATACGAATAATAGTAATATACGAATAATATTAATATGATTAATAACAATGATAATATTAGTACTAATAGTACTAATAATAATAGTGATCGTACTACGAATGCGAATAATGATAATACGACTACTAATAATAACACGAAAAATAATACTACTAATGGTAAAATAATAAAATCATTAATAATACTCAGAATGATAAAAACAACAATAATAACAACACTGATATCAATACTAGTAGTAATAGTGATAACACGAATAATAATATTAGTAATACGAGGATGAGGAGGAGGAGGAAGAGGAGGAGGTGGAGGAGGAGGAGGAGGAGGAGGAGGAGGAGAACGCGCCCATGACATCGGGTGATCCTCGGAATCGCGCCTCTCGGAGTCCATGCCGCGAGGGCATCCAGCCACGCGCAGCGTGGGGTGGGGGGAAAAGGCACCTGCACCGCTACCCTTCGCCCGTTCCCCATTTTTTTGGCCTCCTGGGAGGCCCTTGTCGCCGCTGCTGGATTCGCTTCGAAGTCTATTCAGAACGCACCACGGGAGAGGTCCGGGGAGTAGCAGTATCGGTACCCTTTGGTTTCCCGCAGGGGATTCAGCCACGCGCAGAGGGGGGGAAGGGGTAGAAGGAATGGCTTCCAAGCAGGATCCCTGGTTCTTAGAAGGCGCGGGCCCTGTCTATAGATCTAAGGCCGGCGCCTTCTAAGATGCAGCCTAAGCTTTTCCCCCCCTTACCCCCACTTTGTGAGCGCCGCCAGGGCATGAATATGGAGATGTTCGATGGAGCCCGCTCGAAGTGGATCACTGGATCCAGGATCCACCCGGGCCAGTTTTCCAGCCCAGATCAGCTTTAAACGGCCCTGGGGCCCAAAAACAGCCCCCAGGACGCCAAGACAACGAAACACCTTGATCCCAGATGTCTGCCGATCAGATTGCGAAGGTCTTGCGGCCAGTCCGGCCGACCCTGACGACGACGCTGACCGCGATGAGGTAGAATGATGATGATGAGGAGGAGGAGGAGAAGGAGGAGGAGGAGGAGGAGGAGGAGGAGGAGGAGGGGTGGAGAAGGAGGAGGAGGAGGAGGAGGAGGAGGAGCCGTATGAGGAGGAGGCGGAAGACGCCCCCCCCCCCCCCCCACACCACACCCGTCGGGACCCCCCCGCCAGGGGACCCCCAGGGGGGGGATGCGTATCTGACCCTCCCCCCAGACGGGGCAGGGATCCAAGGGAACGGGCTCCTCTTCGATTCGATCACGACATTGCTAGGTTTTTCTGTCGCTGACAGGCTCCCACGGAACCCGACCCGAACGGAGAAACCCCTGACACACGCCGACAGGGCTCTCGGATTTTGTTTCGACTGGCGGCCACAGAGGTCTCGACCCCTTCCCTGGGTGGGGCAGCCTTTCGTCGCGGATCCGTTCCGAGGGTCCCAGCGCCTGGCAACGGGCCCCAGGGGCAGACATCGAGGAGGGAACAGCTCCCAGGTTGAAAGAACCAGATCGTCTGTCGATCGATTCGTTTTCTCCCTGCCTCGTGCCCTCCTCCTCGTCTTCCTCCTCCTCCTCCTTCATCTCCTTCTCCTCCTCCTCCTCCTCCTCCCAGATCGTCTGTCGATCGACTCGCTTTCTCCTCGACGAACCCGCTGCGCGTGAGGAGCGGAGTACATGAAGGGCAAGGCCTCCACCTCCGCGGCGTACGTGCGGGCGAGGGTCGTGGGCGGCACCGGCGGCACGGACTGAGGCCACGCGAGGGCGCCCTGGAGGCCTCCGGCCTGGGAGGGGCGTGGAGCCCCTCCCTGCGGTTGCCAGCCTGGAGCATCTCTGTGTCCCTACGCTTCAGTTGCGGGCAATAGTTATATCCGCATCCAGTGCGTCTTGGATTCTTGGGCTCTCTTTCCCAGAAGCCGTAGGCGCACTGGATATGGATAAAAATCTGGCCCCAAGAGGCTTGATTTGATCCATATCCAGTGCGCCTCGGCGTTGCGGCACCTCTTCCCAAAAAGTCCACGACGCTCTGGATATGGATATAAGTACTGCCCGCATAAGTCAGGCCAGTCCCTCTACGGGGAGAATGTTCAAAAATAGTAAAAGAAAAAGTCTGGACGCCCGACCTAGCCCTACGCTTGTCAGGCGATCGCAAACATGGATTAAGGGGGCGTGGATGAGCGACGGGTCCCGTTTCCATTGGAAATCGCGGATTTCCCCCGCCAAGCGAGGCGGCACCGGCCGCATTTTGGGGAGGGCGCCTCCCCCGATCCATGGATTTGGCGACCGCGCGCCAAATCCATGGATCGCGAATCCATGTTTGCGCTCCCCTGAGCTTGGCATCGCCTCATCTCGACGCCAACCTGAAGGGCCCCCTCAGTTTCTGAGAGCGCACCCCTGAGATTGTCGTTGCCTTTTGGCTTGTTCATCCTTAGGGGCAGGGATCAGTTCGAGGCTGGCTGTGCTGGGGTCCCCGAAGGTTCGGCGGCGCGCCTCAGGGCGGGCGCGAGGGCCGGGGCGCTCTGAGAAGCCTATTAGATGGCAGGGGCCTCCTGAGGAGGCCCCTCGGGGGGGCTCCCAAGAAGGCGTCTTTTGTAGCAGCCTCCTGGCTGCTTCTGAGCAGCCCCCGTCCTTCCAAAGAGGCCCTTTGACTTCGCAGAAGGCCCCCCCCCCTCCCGCACTTGCGCCAGCCCCCCGCCCGCGCCGCCAAAAGACCGTGCGGTGACGTTGCGTTGCAACCTCTGCGGGGCCTCGCCCGTCCTGGAAGTGTTGTTCCTTTTCCAGCGTCCGAGGGGTAGTCGGCATGCCTTCGACGTGGATTCGACGTGAATTCGACGCGCATTCGCGGCTTCGAGGCGGACCTGTGGATCCGACATGCTCTTCAGCGCGGCGCATGGTGGCTTCATGGGACAGACTCAAGGGAGAACAAAACCACGCCGACCCTCATCATTTGCGTGTACGAAAAGGCCCAGGGCGTTTACGAAGCAGCCCCGCCGTCTTCGACTCCTTCCACGGATGCGTTTGCCAAACGGCTTCGCTTGTCGTGGTGCTCATTCTGAGGGTGGTTTTTCTGCTCTCTATAGACGAGGCCCCGCAAATTATAAGGGTCGGCGTGGTTTTTTCTCCCTTGAGTCTGTCCCATCGGGCCACCATGCGCCGCGCTGAAGAACGTGTCGAATCAACCGGTCCGCCTCGACGCCGCGAGTGCGCGTCGAATTCACGTCGAATCCACGTCGAAGCCATGCCGACTACCCGTCGGACGCTGGAAACCTATAAGCACTTACAGGACGGACGAGGCCCCGCATCATGACGCTCCTCGTAGTTCGCTGGCCGGGGAGCCCCGCAGCGCTCCCGCGGGCCCTGGAGGTGTTGCGTGGGCCACCCCGGGGCGTGCCTGCAGGCCTGGCGCGCGGGCGGCGCGCAGGCAGGGCCTCCGCCTGGGCGGCGCGGGACTGGGAGCATCTTCCTCCTCATCCTCCTCAGACCTTCCAGGAAAGACTCCTACATCTCTCTCTCTCTCTCTCTCTATATATAAACTTATTCATAACGATATAGATGTATAGGTCGATGCATCCTCCCTCTCTCTTATATATATATGTATATATATCCTCCTCATAGATATATATATATAGGTCGGTTTTGAATTGATCTTCCTCTTGTATATATATATATATGTATATGGATATCTGTCTGTATCTGCACAGCTATGTGCATACATAAGTTGGAGTGACGGGCCGAACGGTCATTCACTGTCCCTGGGTGCGCTGCTGGAGTGGGGTTCCCTGGTGCGGATTGCAGAAATCGGGCTCTCACCTTTTGCGGCGCCGTGCCCCCGAGACTCAAACACCACGCCCTCGCCTTGGATGTCCACACGATTTACTCGGTAATCGCGTCATCGCTCGATACTTCCTTCTTGATGGGGGTGCGTTCTAGCGACCCGCCCGCTCGACCTGGCCGTCTGGACCCGCCGGCCCGACCTGCCCGTTGGGGCCCGCTCGCCCGACACGCCAGTCTGGAGCTGCGACAACTACACACGACAGGTAGGGCAGGTGTAACCCCACGAGGGTATATGATCGAAGACGAAGGGGGCGTGACCGTGGGTACAGGATATCCGTGTTGAGTGACACGCGACGTGATCAGAGCGAACAGTCTTAAAATGATCATTGTTGTTATTAGTAATCATGGCTCGCTCCCCTTACCGGTGCGCATTGTCTGTTTCGATTGAAGTGCCCCGCTTTGGTCTCGCACCCTGTTCTTTGCCGGGGAAAGGTGTCATGCTAAAGCTATTCCTTGGCCCCCCGAACTAATTCAACAACAACAAGAACAACGACGACACTGAGGCCTAGTTGCCCTTGAGCAGAGCAAGACCATCTAAGTGTGCAGGCGCTGCTTTGGGGAGCACTCATACCTTGTCGCGTCGTGACAAGCAGTGGGTCGCCGGTGGCCCTCACCGAGCCTCGGGGCCGTGAACAGAAACTCTCGGGAGGAAAAGCTGGTCTCCCAGGGAAGTGGTCCAAGCCGCAGGAGCCGCACGTTGTGGAAGAAATTTTATGTCGGGGGACAGGAGTCCTCCTCCTCCTCCTCCTCCTCCTCATCCTCCTTCTCCTCCTCCTTCTTCTCCTCCTCATCCTCCCTCTGCTTTTCTCCATCCCTGCCTCCACCTACACCCCTCCCCTTTCTCCTCCTCCTCCTCCTTCTCCTTCTCCTCCGTCACTCGTTCATCAAAAGGAGAGAGTCAATTATTTCATCCTCCTCCTTTTCCTCCTCGCCATCCACATCTCTCCTCTTGCTCCTCCCTCCACCTCTTCCTCATCTTGATTGATCTCCCCATCATATCCATCGTTCGTGTCTTGTTCGTCTTTGCATTCTCATGTTTTACATTCCTCCACCCTCCTTCCTCCACCCCTTCTCTCTCTTCTTTGCCGTTTCTTGCTTTCCCTTGTCCTCGTCCTCGATCTGTTTCCCTTGTCCACTTGTTTTTTTCTGTTCTCCCATTCGTCTGAGAGGCCCTCAGGACCGTAACGATGATCCTTGGTACGATCTGCTCGGTTCTCCAAATCTTCCTCTCGGTCCGTTTGATCCTCCTCTCGATCTTCCTTTCGCTCCCATCGATCCTCTTGATCCCGATCCTCCTTCATTTTTCATTATCTATCTTCCTTACTGCTGACTTGCCTCGGCAGCGAATTGCAGGACTCGACGTCGCCGACGGGCGTGGGCCCACGGTGCGTACAGATGACTCGGGTAGAGCACACACAATTGTTTGTTTTGCTGAGGCTGCTGCGGTGTCGGTCCAGCGGCGTCACACCCATTGTGTGCTCGGAGTTTTCCTCTAACTCTGCAGCCGCCCACCAGCGCTGAAGAACGCAGGACGAACGTGCAGGATGAGCAACGTGGCGGAAAGGCTCCGTTCTCCAACAAAAAAGCCTGCGCGCAATCCTTCCGGTTGCGCGGGGCCTTGGTCTTACCGGCCCGCCGCTCCGCGGTCGGTCCTCAGCTCATGCACTGAGACAGGAACGTGCCATGTGATCATTGTTTATTTAATCGCTTCGCTCATTCCGCCGGCCCATATTGTCGCACCGTTGTGGGCTAGCCGAGTTTTGGGGGCCGTTTTGGGGCCTCTTGGGGCCTCTTTTGGGCCTCTTGGGCGCCTCTTGGGGCGTCTTGGGGGCCTCTTGGGGGCCTCTTGGGGCCTTTTTGGGGCCTCCTGGGCGCCTTCTGGGGCGGAGGGCTCGATTTTTCAGTTCTCGGTTCCCCTCTTGAGCCCCTCTTGGGCCCGTCTTGGGGCCTCTTGGTCCGTCTTGGGCGGCACTTGGGCCGTCTTGGGGGCCCTCCTGGGCCGTTCCGGGGCCGTCTTGGGAGCCTCGTGGGCCGTCTTGGAGCGGTCTTGGGGGCCTCTTGGGCCGTCTTGGAGCGTCCGGAAGCCGAAAAAGCCAGAACACAAAAAACATAGAAAAAACCAATGAAAATCAACGATTTTGGCCTCTTGGGGCTCTCTTCGGAGGCCTCTTGGAAGGCTCTTGGGGCGTCTTGGAGGCCTCTTGGGCTGTCTTGGGGGCCTTTTGGGCCGTCTTGGGGTCATCTTCGGCGTCTTCGAGCGCTCTTTGGGCGTCTCGGGGGCCTCTTGGGCAGTCTTGGGGGCCTCTTGGGGCACTCTGAGCGCGCTCTGGGGAGCCTGAGAGGCCGCACCCAGAAGGAAAACCATCTCTGAGTAGACTTGGTCGGGCGGTGGTCGGGCGGCGGTCGGGCGGCGGTCGGGCGGCGGTCGGGCGTTGGTCGGGGTACTTTCGCCGGGGGACCCCCAGGGGCCGCCCCGCGCGCGCGAACTAGAAATACTGTTAATACTGTTAACCAGTTACCGGAGATCTTAGCACGCCCTGGCCCGTTGGGCCGGCGAATTCATTGTTTTGCCTATCGGCGCGGACCGTCGCACCCTCCCCTCTCCCCCCCCGTGGAGTAGATCTTGGCTGTTTTTGGCGCCTGTTTCCAGCAGGTGGAGGCTCCCCCAGAGGCCGCACTCTTGCAAAAGCAGTCGCATGAAGCAGAGGTCTAGAGCCAGACCCCCCACCCACCCACCCATGGTACTGAAGGACCACATCCCAGATATAATTTCGAGCACCCGGAAAAGTGTCGAAAGGGTGTCGAAGCAGTGTGGGACGAGTGTCTCCCAGGGCCTGACACGTCAAAACCCTCGAGTTTCGGTGCTTTTTTGGTGCTCGAACATTTTTCTGGTGATCAAGGCTAAAGTATCGGGGGTGGACAGAACCCCCAACAGTGACACGTCGATTGGTGAATTGTCCGTTTTCGGTTCTCGAGAGGGCGCGGCGGGCGTTATTTTCCAGGCTTGCGCCCGCCAGGTTTGGGCCTCAGGTCGTTTTCACTAAACCACGTTTTACTAAAGGGAGGTCTGTCCATCCCCGAAAGTAGGTTGGAACATCATAGCCCACGCAAGGGGGTAGTAGACGCACCGATCCGGGGCCCAGCATGGGCCTGGCCGGGGGCGGTGCAGGCCGTGCCGCTGGCGCCCTACCAGCTTTGGCCGTGGACCGCAGCCCGCCCTGGTCGTTCGAGATCCTCCACCTCCTCCTCCTCCTCCTCCTCCTCCTCTCCTCCTCCTCCTTCTCCTCCTCCTCCTCCTCCTCCGCCTCTTCCTCCTCCTCCTCCTGCCGCCCCTTCCTCCTCCTCCTCCTCCTCCTCCCCCTCCTCCTCCGCCTCTTCCTCCTCCTCCTCACCCTCCTCGCCCTCCATGCGACCTGGGGAGAAGCGCGCGCCTAGGATCCCGGACCCCCCACGTCATGATTCTCCTCAGGACGTCGACCCCCACAGGTCTCGATGCTTTTCCCCGGGCCTGTTCTTCATCCTGGCTCGTGTCGTGTTCCCCTTTCCGCTGCCCGGCCAGCGCCCCCCCAGAGGCTGGAAGCAGCGAAGGACCGCCCGTCGCGATGGTCTCATGGCTCGACGGGGTCTCGGATCCCCTCCGCGTCGTCGCCCTTTTGCCGCCCCATTCCGCCCTCGCACCGGGCTCGGCCCAAGCCTGGCCCAGGCCGGCGGGCGGCGCGCCCGAGCGAGCGCCGCTGCGGCGGCCTGCATGAATGTAGCACGCTGAGCTTGGGCTGCCACTTTCAGCGCCGTCTAACCGATACCGATACCCTTAAGTCGGGCCTGTCCCCCTATTGAAAATTGAAAATACCCCAAACATAGTCCAAACATCGTCCAGAAATAGTCTGGGAACTATTTTTGAATATTTGTTTGGCCTTGTCTGGGGCATTTTTGGGGAATTGTTCATTTTTCGTCGCAAATCCCCCTGTAGGGGGACACGCCCGACATAACCATACCCGTTGGTCGGCCACGCGCAGAGGGGGGCAGGGGGAGGAGGGAGGGCTACACAGAGGCACCCCTGCTTCCGAGCAGGTGCGGGCTTCGTCCACTTGTGGATGCAGGGCCGGCGCCTCCCGAGGAGCGGCCTCCCTCTGAGAAGCCTTTTCCCCCTCCCCCGTACTAAAACGACGCGAAGATCGGGACACAATCGGATCGGGATAACTCGAAGTCTCTGAGAATCGGCGGGTTTGGGGGATGTATTGGGCGCCGCGGCCGCTCCAGAGCGTTCCGGAACGCTCTGAGAGCGCTCCGGAACGCTCAGGAGCGATTTATCCCGATCCTAGCCCTGTTTTACGTGCCCCCTCTTGCGCGCCGCCAGCATTGGGCCATAGTTTCTCAGCCCCACCATGTCCCCCGCCCAGAGGGGGGCAGGTCCCGCGAAGCCCGAAGGGAGCTGCATCATCATCATCATCATCATCATCATCATCATCATCATCATCATCATCATCATCATCATCATCATCATCATCATAATCATAATCACCATAATCATCATCATCGTCATCGTCATCATCATCATCATCATCATCATCATCATCATCATCATCATCATCATCATCATCATCATCATCATCGTCATCATCATCATCATCATCACCATATATATAGAATACTGCAGTGGCGCTTCGCGCCATGCACCTTGGTCCTTGAAGTGTGGCATGCAGGCGGAATAGCAGGAAGGTCAAGCCGACAAATTAGCGACACCTCCTTGTTGCCTTTTCCGGCATCGTCGCTGTAGTAATGTTATTCGTTGTTCTTCCTTTATGTTTCTTTTTCTTCATTTTCGCCATACCCTGGGCATTCTCCCCATCCTCCTCAGCTTTTTTTGCGGAGACTCCCCCTTGGAGAGCCTCTGCGGGCCTCACAATTCAGGCTGCCTTAAGGCCTTCTGGAGGCCTCCTGGGCGTATTCTGGGGGCCTCTGGGACCTTCCTCTGGCCACCCTGCCTCCAACCGCTGTCTCCCTGAACGACCGTGTCACGATTTGGAATGCTTTGGAGGGTGTCTTGGAGCCATCTTGGGCCGCCCTGGGGCTCTCTGAGGGCCATCTTGGACCCGTGTTGTGCCGTTTTGGGGCTCTCTTGGACTGCCTGGAAGCCCTTTCGGATGGTTGTGGGGCGATTTTGGAGCCTCCCAGGCAGCTTCGGACGCCCAGAAGACCGCCGTCTTGGAGCGTCGGGAAGCCGAAAAGAGGAGAACCCCAAAATTCACCAAAAACCGACAGAAAATCAATGATTGCTGCTTCTTGTGGCCGTCTTGGCAGTGCTCTTGGAGGCCTCGTTGGGGCCGTCCTGGAGGCCTCTTGGGTCATCTTGAGGTCAAGTCGGTCTCTCTTGGAGCGCTCTTGTGCTGTCTTGGGGGTCTCTGGGACGTCTCCGATGACCCCCCTGATCGCCCGAGGTGTGCTGGGAAGGCTTGGCAAAACGCCCTGCGAGGCCCGGGGGGCCGCTTCGAGGCCCGTCCGGAGGGTCCCAAAGCCCCAGATCCCCGGAGTCCTGTTTTGGGGGGGTCCCCCCGCCTGGGCTTCAGAAAATATAGGAAGAGGAACATGTATCTATATGTGTATATATATACACATATATATATATAGGTATGTATGCATGCATGTATGCATGCATGCATGCATGTATGTATGTATGTATATGTATGTATGTATGTGTGTATGTATGTATGTATGCATGAATGTAATGTAATGTAATGTAGTATAATGTAATGTAATGCAATGCAATGCAATGTAATGTAATGTAATGTAATGTAATGTAATGTAATGTAATGCAATGTAATGTAATGTAATGTAATGTAATGTAATGTAATGTAATGTAATGTAATGTAATGTAATGTAATGTAATGTAATGTAATGTATGGATGGATGGATGGATGGATGTATGCATGTATGTATGCATGTATGTATGTATGTATGTCTGTATGTATGTGTGTCTGTATGTAGGTATGTATGTATGTACGTACGTATGTATGTATGTATGTATGTATGTATGTGTGTATGTATGTGTGCATGTATGCATGTATGTATGTGTGTATGTATGTATGCATGCATGCATGCATGCATGCGTGCGTGCATGCATGTATGTATGTATGTATGTATGTATGTATGTATGTATGTATGTATGTATTGATGTATTCATGCCATGCATGCATGCATGCATGCATGCATGTATGTATGTATGTATGTATGTATGTATGTATGTATATATATATATATACATTTGTATTCCCACACGGGGGCAATTCGGCCAGTGTGCAGAAGGCCATACCAGTAGGGATAGGGATCGGTTACACGGAGCTCGCACTCGGATGATGTCGGTCAATCCGCCGCCCCCAGGGGGCCCGACCCCTTCTTCTGGGCCAGCTTTCGCCGCCCCGGCTCCGCGCCCGATGGCCCCGCAGAGGGGGGGTCCCGAAGGCCGGCGTCGAGGGACAGCTTTCCTCCGGATTGAGCAACTCATACCGTCAGAGACTGTGGTCTGCAGCGCGACGGCAGCCGCCTGCCACTCGATGTGGGCGCTGGCTCTGGGCTCCGCCGCCGCGGGGGTCCTGCCCGTGGGTCTCGCGGCGAGGCTGCGGCGCGGAGAGCCCTGGGAGCCGTGCGCCACGGAGGGCCTGCAGATCTCGGCCCCGCGCGCCGGCAGGGTCCCCGTCAGGTTCGGCTGGGGCGACAGCTGGGTCGAAGGCGACGGGAGGGGGTGGGGGAGGGGGAGGGGGAGGAGGGGAACGGGGAGGAGGAGAGGGGAGCAGGAGGAGGAGGAGGAGGAGGAGGAGGAGGAGGAAACCGTGGCACGCCCAAGCAATTCAGGCGCGTGCTGCTGACAAGCGCGACGGCCTGCCCTCAGGTGGGCTTCGGTCGCCCGCGATCACCGAGAACGTGCGTTGGATTGCTGCGCCTAGCTTCCAGAGGCCCTGCTTGCATGGCTTGCTGCACATCTCTCAATGCTACTCCTCTTGCTCCTCGCTGTAGACACATTATGAAACAAAGCACGTAATTGAGAGGCTTGGCGACGCCGCTAGGGACAGAGAGAAACAATAAACAAAAACGTTCAAAGTTCTCTCATGCACGATATCTTTCAAGTTTTGGGCGAATCCTTCAAACTAAAATCAAAGCGTGACGGCGCAACACACACATATATATACATATATATATATATATATGTATCGTTGCAGGGTGTTGACGAATGTGCGCCTGAGCTTGTACCGAATCCCAGCATGGACAAGTGGGACCACGGAAAGTTAACACCCTTAGCTGTACCTCCTCAAATCTACCCTTCTCCGTTATTTTATAAGTCTGCCTGATCCACCGACCCCGCCCCAGCTCACGTTGGAAGAGGCGCCAGAGCCACCGTATTGTTCAGCAGGTTTGGTCCGGTCGAACATGCAGTGCCGATCTGCTGGTGTCAGTGCAGTTGGCCAATGCACGGCGTCGTCTGCTCCACCTGTGATCAACCCGCCAGAACACATTCGACACAATGAAGGAAAATGGGGCGACGCAAACGGTTGCACGTTCACATTATTTTCATGTTTGGGTTGGAAGCCATCTGACAGTCAGGTTGGTTATGGTTTCGACACGTGCAGGCGCATCGTACACTTCAGCAAACAGGTGCCGATGTGATCTACAGCGGCTCCAGCAGGTGATGACATAATGGACAACTCGGCGGGCGCAGTTGCCATGGGCTCAGAGCCGCATGAGCGCATTCACCTGATTTTAGACGCTTCGTTTAACCCCACCATAGTTTGCTCCTGTTGTCAATTAGTAGGCCCGCGCCCCGGACTTACGAATCGCCGCTTGCGCTCTCGCCCGCGGCCGCGACCAAAGAAAGTAACCCCACCAGTCCATCCAGAAACGATGCCCAGAGGAAGTGCCTCGATCGGGGAAGTGGGCAGCACACAGAGGAAGGGTGCCCCAGTGTTGAGGCCTGTTGGAGCGTCTTGGGGGCCTCTTGGCGGTCCCAGACGCCTCTGAGAGCGTCTTGGGTGCTTCGGAGAGCTTCTTGGGGCCTCTTGGGAGTCTCTTGGGGGCCTCTTGGAGACCTCTGGGGCGCCTGTTGGGGCCTCCTGGGCGCCTTGTGGGGCCCACTTGAAGCGCTGATTGGGGGCCCTGTTGGAGCCCTCTTGGGCCATCTTGGAGTCATCTGGAAGCCTTGGATGGCCATCGGAAGCGAAAAGGCGAGGACCCCAAATATTGATTTGCCTTAGGTTTTGGAAGAATTGTGGCCTCTTCGGAGCCTCTTGGGGGAGCTCTTTGGCCACTTGGAGCCGTCTTGAAGCGTTCTTGGGGCCTCTTGGAGCATCGGTGGAGCCATCTTGGAGGTCATCTTGGGCTCCCCCACGCGCTCTTGGAGTCATCTGAAGCAGTGCCCCCCCACCCAGGAGGCCCAAATGAGGCCAACACCTTAGTAAAACAAAAAAAAAAAACATGGTTGTGGCATGTTCGCTGGGGCCTCATGGGGCGTCTTGGGTGCCCTTTGTGGGCCTCCTGGGGCTTCGTGGGGGTCTCTTGGGAGCCTCTTGGGGGCATCCTGGGGCCCTCTTAGGGGCTTCTTGAGGCCACATGGGGCCATCTTGGGGCCATCTCGGGGCCTCCTGGGCGCCTCTTGGGGCCATCTTGGAGGAGATCGATCACAGGAGAGGGGGGGGTCCTAAATTAGCCTCCCCCCTCAGGAGGCCAAACATGGGTCCTAAACCATTGTAAAACCAATGATTTTGGCTTCCTCGCCGAGGCCGTTTTGGACGTACCAACGCGTCGCGGAAGGGGTAAATCTTTCCCCGAAGGGGAAATCGGAGGGGCAACGGAGGAAACACGCTAGACCACCTACGCCCACAGGGCTGGTAGGATTTGAACCGATGCTGTTGTAATCACGCCTCAAGGGTTGGTTGCAAATTCGAATCCCGTTGCAGACGCGCCTCGCGCGTTGGGCACGTCCCAAGCAATTGGTGTTGATGCCGTTGCGGGCGCGCCTCGGGTTATGACAAATCACAAGCATACGAACTACATTGTTGGTCTCATCACATCAACGGGATAATATGTTGCTAGAGCAATCAGGGCTCGTATCGTTTCTGCCACAGCTCTCACGGTCAATAGTTCTACACGTGACGCTTCAGTACTCCACGCCGCGCTACGAAACACATGCATTTGTTGTTGACCTCGCACACATGCTGCCACGAACGTTGTCTTGTGGAAATTGCGCGGGATGGGGAGTGGGAGGAGGGAGGAAGGAAGAGGAGGGGGAGGAGGAGGAGGAGGAGGAGGAGGAGGAGGAGGAGGAGGAGGAGGACGAGGAGGACGAGGAGGACGAGGAGGAGGAGGAGGAGGAGGAGGAGGAGGAGGAGGACCACAAGGAGGAGGAGGGGGGGAGGAGGGGGAGGAGAGGGAAGGGGGGGGGAGGGAGGGGGGGGGGGAAAGGAGGAGGCGGAGGTGGAGGAGGAGGAGGAGGAGAGGAGGAGGGGAGGAGGAGGAGGAGGAGGAGGAGGAGGAGGAGGAGGAGGAGGAAGAGAGGAGGAGGAGGAGAGGAGGGAGGAGGGAGAGAGGAGGGGAGGAGGGAGGAGGAGGAACAGCAGGAGGATGAGGATGAGGAGGAGGATGAGGAAGATTGGGAGGAGGAGGAGGAGGAGAAGGAGGAGGAGGAGGAGGAGGAGGAGGGCCGACAGATCAGGGCCCCGCGCGCCAGCAGGGCCCCATCAGGTTCGGCTGGGGCGACCGCTGGATCGAATGCGATGTCGGGCGTTGCTGTGGGTGCCCCTGGCCCAAGGTGCCCCCAGCTTTTCGCTCCATTGTCGGGCCCCTGGGGCCATCAGGGCCTCGTGAGTGGTGCTCTGGAGGCCGTCGGGGCCTCCTTGGAAATCCGGGGGGCACCTTGGGCCAGGGGCACTCCAGGCAACACCCGACATGCTCGGCTGGGGCGACAGCCCGGTCGAAGGCGACGGAAGCAGAGCGCCATCGGAGACCGCCAAGGGCTTCGCACCGGGCGCCGTCGTTCGGCTTAGGGTCACCGGACCATCACGGATGTACAGTGCGGTTTTTCAATACATGCTCCGCGTGCGGATCATGCATTAAACATGTAGGGATTTAGTATAAAAGACAACGATGAGTTCATGCATACATTTGTTCATAAATTAGTAATGTATTAAAATCCTGTATGGAAAAAAATCCGATGTATTAAAATTGTTCCGGTATCCGGCTCGAGGAACGGACGCAAGGCGCACTCGGAAGCCACCAGGTGTTTCGCCCCGGGGGGGGCATTCGCTGAGTTTCGGGCCTCGGTGCCGTCACAGTTCGACGCGGTTCGAAAGAGTGCAGCAGGAAGACGGGTTCCAGGGCTCTGGCCGTGGTTTTCGCGCTGCTGCTACTGATCTCGGCACGAACGAAATGGGTACGGAAAGAACGGGTACAATGCCCAACAGCAGTTCCTCTTCATTTTGAACAGGACCCGCTGTCCGCGCCGCCGCGGCCAGTGTCCATTTGAGACAGAAGGCCGCCTGCCCAACAGCGGCCGCTGTTGGTTTGGGACAACATTTGTTGTTGAGCATTGTACCCATTTTTTTCCGTACCCATGTCGGCCGTCCAAATCATCCGCATCGTCGGGAGTCAGGCGTGGCAGATTCTGGGCCCAGGATCGGCGCATGTGCCATCCTGCCCAAGCCAGGGAGGCGTATACACCGATCCTGGGGCCAGGGTGCCTCTGGCCGGGATCGGTGACCGGTGAAGGTGTGTAACGTTGGCGTTCTCCAACGCACCAAGAGCACGAACCTGCAAAGGTTCAGTCGGGCCTGTCCTTCTACAGAAAGATAGTGCGGGGACGATGCTTTTGAATTTTTTGAGTACTTTTGAGGAGTATTTGTTTGGGTATTTTTGATTTTTCGTCCAAAATCCCTCTGTAGGGGGTATGCCCGATCTAATGCAAAGGCCCCTCCCAGATTCATTGGCTCTGCGTTGGACCCCGCGCCCCTGGCGCACTCTGCGCGGCGGGGGGGGTCCAGGGCCGATCCAAGGAGTGCGCGCAGATTTCTTCAAAACCACTGTGTGGAGTTTCCCCTCCGACAGACCGGGAGTGTCAGTGCCGAAAACCACTGCTGCCACATCCGCCTTCCTCCCTTCCCGACGCCACTTTCTGCTACAAGCCCTCCCGACGCTAGGACGGAGGGAGCGCCCTTTCCGCTTCCCCCTCCTCCTCCTCCTCCTTCTCCTCCTCCTCCTCCTCCTCCTCCTCCTCCTCCGCTTCCTCCTCCTCCTTCTTCTCCTCCTCGTCCAGTTCCTCTGTCGTGTCGCCGGATGGCCCCGGCGGCAGCGAAAACGCAGCGCCGGTATCGTAGGCCGCTCGTTGTGCTGCACGCCAGGTCCTTTCTCCTCCTCTCCTCTTCTCCTCCACAGTGTCAGCCGTACGTCCCAGGCTTAGCACACCTGGGTCTCGCGCTTCGAGCAAAAGTCTTCCAGCTCCTCCGCGCTTTGTTTGTCACCCTTTCTCGCCGCTGAGCACTGTCCTGATGGTAAACAGTGCGCCGCGCCGGTGCTCCGCCAGGATCGGTATCGTCTAGCCGATCCCCATCCCCATCACCACTCCCTCCGAGACCCCCACCAAATCACCACCCCGGTCGGGGATACCCCCTCGAAACCCGAAGAGAAAGACCTCCATCCCAATCTGGGGGGGCAGGTCGGCCAGCGGGGCCCAGGCCACGCCGCTGGGGATGGGGATCGATTGAGAGATACTTTACAAGCCTCGAGCTTATCCCTGTCCCTAAGATTGACACGCCAAAAAGCGATGACAATCTTAGGGGTGCGCCCTCAAAAAATAGGGGAAATCCTTAAGATTGGCATCGTGATGAGGAGATGCCCAGCATAGGGGTAGGAATATGTACCAGGCTGGTAATCTGGGGCCTCCCCGGAGTCTTGCGTCGCCACCGCAGGAGGAGGAGGAGGAGGAGGAGGAGGAGGAGATGGAGGAGGAGGAGGAGGAGAAGGAGGAGGAGGAGGGAGGAGGAGGAGGAGGGAGGAGGAGGAGGAGGAGGAGAGGAGGAGGAGGAGGAGGAGGAGGAGGAGGAGGAGGAGGAGGAGGAGGAGGAGGAGGAGGAGGGTCCCGCCTCCTGTCCCCGGCGAGTGCAGATGGCCCAGCCATCCCGCGGCCGCCAGGCCCCAAGCGGTGCCGGTGCTCCCTGACGGGGGGGGGGGGGCGGGCGCCTCGCGCTCTCGGGTGTGTGGGTCGCTCAGCTCGGAGCCAGGCATCGAGCGGCCAGCATCTCCTCCTCCTCCTCCTCCTCCTCATCCTCCTCCTCCTCCTCCTCCTCCTCCTCCTCTCGCTCTCTGGTGTGGGCGCCTCGCGCTCTCGGGTGTGTTGGTCGCCGCTCGGAGCCAGGCATCGAGTGGCCAGCATCGGTCAACCAATCCCCATCCTCCGAGGCCAGAAAGCCATCACTTCACGAATTGTGGGCCCCAGGGCCCGCTGAGGCCCCAGGGGCCCCAGATTAGTGAGGTGATGTTTTTTCGCACGTGAGGACCCCGAAATTCATCACTTCACTAAACCGAGCCAAGGACGAAAGTCAGGGGCCGAATTGCTGCTGTGATGCAACATCGGTCTCGTACATCCCCATCCCCAGCCGCTTCGGGACCCCCACCAAAGGACACCCCCATTTTGGGGATACACCCCGCGAAGCCCGAAGGGAACGGCTTACATCCCCATCCGGGAGGGTAAAAGCCGGACAGCGGGGACCAGGCCACGCCGCCAGGGATGGGGACGGTTTAAACGATACTCGAGTAGGGGATCGACTACAGAATCGATCTGCCCCCAACTGGATTTCCCTCTGCAAATTTACAAGAAGGATGTAGCAAGTTTCATGGATTCGGCGAACCAGCTGATCTTGGGGCACATCAATTCTGTAGTCGATCGCCTACTCGAAGACAGTCTGTTGCCCCTTCCAGGCGAGCTGCAGGGGGGGTCGCCGTGCAGCGCGGTGGCGTTCGACTTCGACCCGGCCCCTGGAGTGCGCAAGGTCTGCGGGCACGCCTCGCATCCAGCTCCACTGCGTCTTGGGCTTTCTGGCAAGGGGCGCCCAAAGGCCGATGTGCAGGGGCTGTGGATCGAGATCTAGCCTCCGGGGGCCAGACCTCGATGCCCATGTCCACTGCAAGCCTCGGGCTTCTGGGGAGGGGAGCCCGACACCCCACGACGCGGTGGACGTGGATGCGGTGGAGGCCCATGCCGGGAAGCACCCTGCTCGCCTCCCTGCGTGGTGCCCAGGGGTGTCTTGGGCTTCTGCCGCGGAAGGCGCGACGCTCCCACGCCAGAGATGAATTGCCGTCCTGGGGTCTCGGGGTTGGGATTCTCGTGTGGGAGGCTTCTTCGGGTCGGGCCTCCATCTCACAGATCTTGCCCGCGAGGTCTGACGAACCAATTACACACACCCATACCCATAGGGGGATCGGAGAGGGCTTTGGGTGCGTGTTGTCGGATGGGGGTCCCCGCTCGAACGGGAGCGTTCCCCAGGGTCCGACAACCCGCACCCATACTCATAGCCAGTCCTCCTCCCAACGACCTCCCTACGGGTATGGGTGTGTGTTGTTCGTTCGTCAAGGTCTGCCTGTGCCAGGCCGCCAGCGCGCCAGCGGGGCGCGCGGGGCGGGAGCTCCGGGAGGATCGGAGGCCCAGAAGTCGACACCACCACCGATATATTTCGAGTGGGGGATCGACTATAGTCAGGAGGGAAGGAAACACACAGACACAATTAATCGTCGACTCCCAGGAAATACAGGAAAATATGGGAATTGGGGGGGGGAGACAAAAACCTAGAACATATAGGAACATATGGGGAATCCTGTTATTTGTGTGTATTTATTTGTGTGTCCCAGGGCCCCTTCATATAGAATTGATGTGCTCCGAGATTGATTTGCACGCCGGGTCTATGCAAAATCAGTGGGATGCTCGTAGATCCAGCAATATGGCACGCAGGAGCCGACGAGACCATCAACCTCTGGGGCACATCAACACTGCAGGCGATGCCCCGCTCGAAATATCGGCAGTGTGCTGCCACCGAGGGAACATGATCCCGATCTCGGTGGTGGTGGTAAGATTCGGCCTTCCTAGCTGGACGACAGATTACCACCACCGAGATCGAGGGTCATCTTCCCCTGCGGAGGCAAAGCCCCTGTGTTGGTGATTGTGCCCATTCCCGAGCCTCCAAGAGGAGCTCGGGGCGCCGTGGTCGCGCTGCGCGGCCGAGGGGGCCTCGTGCGCGTGCCCCTCGGGCCGCGTGCGCTTCGGCACCGAGGGGCGCTGGGCGTTGGTGGAACATGGAAGGAGAAGAACCGGAACGGACATACGCCCAGGCCTCCTAGATGGGGTCGGACCATCGACTCGCTCTATTACTTACAAGGCATATTGACAGAACGCTGATATCAAGGGAGGGAAAACCACCCAGACCGCGATAATTGGCGTTGAAGAAGCGGCCCTCGCCGTTCACTGAACAGTCGTGCCCTGTTCGATGCCTTTCGTGAGTGCGTTCACGAAACGGCTTCGCTTGTCGGGGTGCTTGTTATGTGGGTGGATGTTCTGCCCTGTACGGTCAAGATGACGAAAGAAGGAACGATTCGGGTTCGGAAGGGCCTCGATGTTCCTTAGGTCCTCACAAGGCTGTTCCTCCAGCGCTCCGCGTGCACCAAGGCGCCTTCGGGGCCCAAGAGGGCCCTCGTCTCTTCTTTTGCGTTCCTTGTGGTGCAGCAGCTTGGCTGTTTCCGGCGCCGCCCCTGGTGCACGCTCCGTGCGCCAGGGAGAGGGTCCAGCGCCGCTGCAAGAAGCCTGCTCCCGAGCCCCCCGACGCCAGGATCGTATAACGTGGACCCCCAGAGGTCTGGACCCCTTCCCGGGGCCTGGTGTTGCATCCTCAGCAGTTCTCTGACGGGCCCAGGAGCCAGCTCTGGCCACAGGAAGCCAACACGCAAAGAGGAGTTCAGAAGTCCGTCGTGATTTTGTCATGGCGCGAGGGGGCCTCCGCGTCGGACCTCCGAAAGCGTACTTCCCGTGCACCTTTCTTCCCTTCCGAAGCAGCGCCGCGCGGGGGCCGCTGCGCCCGTCCAGTGCGACGCGGAGTCGTTCGGCACCGACCCCGCGTTCCAGAGGCAGAAGGAGTGCTGGTGCAGCGAGGGCCAGCCGAAGGCCCAGCAGGTGCGCGCGGCGATCGTGATGCTCAGCCGCCATCCTCCGGAGTTTGCAACATGGCTCAGGCTCGAGGAAGGAACATTCCCCTGAACATATGCTGTTGGAGGTTCGCGCGGATGTCTTGCATTGGCGCAAGGCCCTTTCCTGGAGCGAGCCGGAGGCGGCGCAAGAGGCGCCGCCAGGGAGTCCACCGCCAATCCAAGAAGTCCGCGCTGACCTCCGCAAGTTCAGGTTTACGCAGTTTCTCTTCCTCTAAGGTACCATCTAGACTACATGGGGGTCGAGCGCGTCTTCGTGGAGGTGGAGGACACCCCCAGATTCAACGCAACCTGGACCGCCCTCCCGGCAGTGCATCGGCAGCGCGTGACCGTTTGGCATCCCAACCCGTACGAGAAGCTTGCGCACGATGCCCAGCAGAGACCGGTCAACGACTACGAGACCCTTCAGTCGAGGCAGTTGGGCGCCATGGACCGCGCCAAGACCGAGGCGGCTTCGGCAGGCATCAACTGGCTGATCCATATCGACGACGACGAGTTGCTCTACTCGCCGATGCGGCGGCCGCTGGCAGAAGTTCTGGGTGCCATGCCCAGCGACGTTGAGCAGGCACTAAGAGGAACAAAGACATACCGATGCCAATGTCCTTCCGTTCTCGTGTTTTCTTGGTTTCCTTGGGGCGCACCGTCGCCATTGCCAGATGCGCCTCGGAATCCCAGTCAGACCGAACCCTGGTTGAGGTCTGGGGAGAACAAACATCGTCTCTTTGTTGTGCATATATATATATATATATATGTGGATACGCTTTTGATCCGCGGGTCGAGAGCGCACCTCTTCCGGTCGAAGCTAAGCGGGCCGCGCTCAGTTATGTGAATACGCATGTAGTATACAATATACACGCGAGCATCCCACAGCCCCAGCAGTTGTGGATAAGAGTGGAGGGGCGGTGGGGTCGTCTGCAGATTGCGATGCTATGAAAAGAACGCAGGCGCCGATTCTTGTTACATTACACAACGGGACCGCCGCATGCGCCGAATTTACGTCAAAGCAATGTAGGTGGGTCGCGGGTGGGTCGCGGATAATTAGGTCGCGGGTGGGTCGGTCGCGGCGGGTCGAGGGTGAATCGCGGGCAGGTCGCGGGCGAGGACAACGACAACAAACGACAACAGACAGCAATACCCTTCACCGCGGAAGTGCACTTCAGGCACGCGCCCCAGGGACGGTGTACGACCGTTCGGCACCCTCGTTCTGATACGTACACTTCTGTCGGGCCTGTCCCTCTATAGGGGGAATATTCACAAATAGTCAAAAATGGTCTGGGGATTTTTTTTTGAGTATTGCTTGACCAGTTTGGAGCATTTCTTGTATTTGTTAGTTGTCGTCGTACATCTCCCTATAGGGGGGAAATGCCCGACTTAAACGTACACATTTGCGTATACGGGCGCGGGGCGGCATGTCGACCTGTTCAGACAGAACTGACATGCAGCGGTCCGCGTGTCGGGGGAAGGCGCCAGTTCTGGGGCCAGATCCGGGGCGTGCCTGGGATGGGCCGCCATACCCCCGCCCTCTCCTGCGAACTGTGGCGACGTGGCGAAGCGATGCCCTCACATATATATATATATATATATGTGTGTGTATATATATATATACAAATATATATACATATAAATATTTATGTACATATATATATGTATTTATGTGTATACACGCATGTCTCCCACAGGCCTACATACCCAACGTAGAGGCCGTGTACCCCTCGGCGGAGGTCAGGAACTGCTTCGTGGACACCGCGGAGGTGAACATGAACCGCTACACGTTTGCCTCCTACGCGAACGGGAAGTCTGCGGTTCGCCTGGATGGCCCCGACGCCGAGTATATGGAGCCTGCAGGCCCTCACCTGTGGAGGCAAGCTGGCGGCTACGAACTCCCGTCGCTGCATCTGGACGAGGAGCCGTTCGGTTCGCCTCTCTACGTCGTGCATTTCGAGTCGTGCCCATTCTCGCGCTGGGAGGACAAGTTCGAGGAGCTCGGCAACACAAACTCCGAACACATAGGCAAGATTCCGTTCCAGTTCTACCGCGAGTCCATCGAAAGGATGCAGCACTGCTCGGCGACGCGCTCGAACACCCACCTACCTCGCAGCCCTGCCGGGAGCCCACTCTCGGCTAATGTCATTGCATCGGGCGAGTGCTCTGAATTGGAGCTCAAGAAGCTCTGGTCCCATTGGAAGACGGAGGCGAACCCCAAGCTCACACGGAGAGATTTGATGGCCCTTCGCATTCCTTGGCAGCAGATTATGACGGGAGGTCCAGCGTAGAGCACAAAGCATCTGATGAGGCAATGGCTTTCCACGTGGACGAGCTTGACACGGCCCTGCACGCAGTGTGCAGCCTCCCTCCTCGTGAGCACCCGACCGCGGCTAGGCCCGGGTTCGGAGCTGGTGGGGCGGCGCCCACCCCTCGCCGCAGGTGGCAATCCAACGCCGCGGCGGGACTCCGACCAGACTATAGTCCAAAAAACCGCTGCCCGTTCCCCCGCCCCCCCTGCGCTCTCCCTGGGGGGACTCCCGCGGCTGCGCACACGCCCGGCCTGCGCTGGTCGCGGCAAAGCGCGCGCACACCACGCGGTGGCGTGCACAACAGGCACGAGGACCGCGCGCGCCCCTCCTCACCAGCCTCGCACTTACCACTATCCCTAAGATTGACACGCCAAAAAGGGATGCGCCCTGAAAAACTAAGGGAATCCCTAAGATTGGCATTGTGATGAGGCGATGCCCAGATTAGGGATAGGGATATGTTCCAGGCTGGTAACCTCCGCTCCCCTGCAGCATTCCCTCCTCGTCCGCGCGGCCGCGCTGGGACGGCGAGCCGCGCGGCCGGCTCCCACCCACGGCCTGCCAAGACGAGCCACGACACCCGCCAGAGAGGCGTGGCAGCACGTGCCACGCATCGGTCAGCAACGCGCAGAGGGGGGTAGGGGCAGGGGGGAAGGCTTCTTAGAAGCACCCCTGCTTCTTAGAAGGCGCGGGCCTTCTCTATAGTCGTAAGGCCGAGGCCTTCTAAGAAGCAGGGTGCTTCTAAGAAGCCTTCCCCCCTCCCCCTACCCCCTTTTGCGCGCCGCCAAATCGGGGAGGTGCACGTATCGCGCGCAGAGGCACGAGTCGCGTGCGTGAGCACGCGCGCGCTTTTCGCCAGATGCTGCGATGCACCGTCGTTGGCCCGGGGTGCGCCTTGGGCCCCGGTGCCCCCAGGCCGTTCCAGAGGCCCCGGGGGGGCCTTCCGGGCGACTGACGTGCATGGGCGCTGGGTCTCCCCAGTTGCCCCAGGAGCACCTCCCCCGAGATTGCAACGCCGTGAAGAGATCACTACGGCGTGGAGCATCACGGCCGCAGCTGCCGGTGCCACCCCTAGGCACGGTGTGTTTCTCGAGCCAGATCGATGATCGTTGACGGTCCCAGTGCCTGACAAAAGTTGGGAGAGTTGCTGGCCATGACTCTTTCGAGACCCTTTGGTTCGGTAGCAAATCATAGGAGCCTGCCTTGTATACCCTTGTAATTCCGTCTTTAGAGATCGTTAGCGTCGATTAGCGTCTGGTAGCCGATGAGGTATCTAGCGCCGATTTAGCGTCGATTAGCGTCGGTTTGCGTCGATGTAGCATCGATCGGCGTCGATTCGGAAGAGCCAACAAGAGCTGCCGCAGAACCTGGGCCTGAGGACCCTGCTAGGACCACCTCCATCGACTCGGGGCTCAAGGGACTGGGGTCAATGCAAACGGGGGCCAGCCAGGGCGCCAGAACTTGCAGGGTCCTGCAGAGCCAGGTCTGCATTGACCCCTCGGGGGCGGCCTAATCAACCCCTGGCCAACCATCCCCTTCATGACGTCCCCCTCGCCTCGCCCCAGAACGCATGTACGCGGTCGGAGGAAAGCTTGAAGGGCGAGGACGACGTCACGGAAGGGGATGATTGGCTAGGGGTCGGTCAGGTCGCGCCCGAGATCCTGCAAGGGCTGACTGCCCCGTGCTGCGCTGACCTGCGGCAGCGTGCCCTCGATCGGCGCCATGGGGCGCGCCTCGGAGCCGAGAGGGCGCGTGGAGAATCGGGAGGCGCCAACCGCACACTCTCGGTGCACGCCTGGACGGGGGAACCTGCCGTGCGCCCGCGGGCGGCTTGGTTGCGGCCGCGGCTGCGGTTTGCGCCCTCCCGCGGGTTGCAATGTGTCGCCTGCGTGCGGCCGCTGCGGCCGCGGTTGCGGTTGGCGCCCGCGGGCGGGTTGAAATGCGTGATTTGTTTGCGGTTGCGGTTGCGGCCGCGGGCGGATTGAATTGTGTCGCCTAGTTGCGGTTGTGATGGCGCCCGCGGGCGGGTTGAAATGTGTCACGTGGTTGCGGTTGCGGTTGGGCCCGCGGGCGGGTTGAAATGCGTCGCCAGGTCACGGTTGTGATTGCTCCCGTGGGCCCGTTGAAATGCGTCGTTTGGTTGCGCTTGTGCCCGCGGGCGGGTTGAAATGTGTCGTTTGGTTGCGGGGTCGGTTGCGCCGACGGGCGTTGCCTGATTGTGGTTGCGTTTGCCCCCGCGGGCGGGTTGAAATGTGTCGCTTGGTTGCGGTTGCGATTGCGGTTGTGCCCGCGGGCGGTTTGAAACGTGACGCTTGGTTGCGGTTGTGGTTGCGATTGCGGTTGCGCCCGCGGGCGGGTTGAAACGTGACGCTTGGTTGCGGGGTCGGCTGCGCCTACGGGCGGTTTGAGATGCGTCGTTTGGTTGCCGTTGTTGTTGCGCCCGCGGGCAGGTTGAAACGTGTCGCTTGGTTGCGGTTGCGGTTGTGCTCGCGGGCGGGTTGAAACGTGCTGTTTGGAGGCCATTTCTTTATTGTTTGGAACATGACGGGCGTCATGGCCCCCGTTCCCCCCCCCTATGACGTAACGCTCCCCCCCCCAGTGCGCTCCGGGCACTGCCACCGTGCGCATTGGGATCCGCGTAGGTGTCCGCGTAGGAATCCGCATAGGTGTCTGGTCCGCAGGCGTCGTCGTCGTCGTCGTTCGTCGTCGTCGCTCGTGGTTCGTCGCTCGTCGCTCATCGTCGTTATGCGCGCGGACGCGGCTGGAGCCAGTTTGTAAGTCCGGGCCGATGACGGCAATCATCTGGGGGGGAGGGGGTCGATTACGTCACGTTTCGCGCCGGCGGCGTTTGGGAATGGTTAGGAATGACGGAGGACGGGTAGCACGAACGTGTAGGTGGCGATACGCACCACAACGCCTGTATACATCACAGTGGCCGCGTGCACCACAGCGCCTGTGTACACCACACCGCCGATGTGCACCACAGCAGCCGCGTGCAACACAGCGTCAGTTTGTGCCACCGCGCCTGCGGGCGCAGCAGCTCCTGTGTACACCACAGCGCCTCCGTGCACCACATCAGCCGTGCGAAACACAGCACCAGTGTACATCACAATGCCTGCGTGCATTGCAGTGTTTGTGTAACGGCGCCTGTGTGCACCACGTCAGCCGTGTGCAACACAGCACCATTGTTGTGTATAGAATTCACAAGGGACCATTGCGACAAAATGGATCGCGTGTGGATTCCAGAAAAAATGGAAAATTAATCCTCACGGACAAAGGAGCGCCGCTGGAATCTACGAGTCCCCCCGAGTCCGGCCGCATCACCCTAACTCCCATTTGCGTCCAGGAGGCTCCAGTTAAACTGGCCGATCCAATCGACCATTCTGCGGTGCACGCTGAGATGCGCACGCGCGTTGTGCCGCCAAACCGCACGACAGGGGGCAAGAAAGAGGAAAAGGAGGACGAGGAGGAGGAGGAGGAGGTGGAGGAGGAGGGAGGAGGGAAAAACGTCGCATTCGATTATCAGAACTTTCCTGGCGTGGCGTACATGCTCCTTCTACCTGTCATATGCACGCAGGCATTGTGGTGTACACCAGCGCTGCGTTGCACGCGGATGCTGTGGTGTAGACAGGCGCTGTGGCGTGCACAGGCGATGCGGTGCACGCAAGCACTGTGGTGTACACAGGCGTTGTGTTGCACATGGCTGCTGCGGTGTATGTACACCGGCGCTGTACTGCCCCCAAATATTGTAGTATACGCGGGCGGTGCGTTGCACACGGCTGTTGCGGTGTACGCAGGCGCCGTGGTGCACACGCGCGGCGTGGTGCACGCGAGCGTTGTAGTGCACACAGGCGCAATGGGCAGATCGCCACTTACATGCTGCTCGCGTCGTCGTCGTCGCTCGTCGCTCGTCGCTCGTCGCGTCGTGCGCGCGGGCGCGGCTGCGGTGCCGGAGCAACACGGCGGGGGAGCGTCACGTCATACCCCCCCCCCCGCCCTCCCCCACCCCCATGACGCCTGTCATCGCCGAACATAAACAAACGCCTTCTTGGTTTCGGCTGCGGTTGCGCCCTGGCGTGTTGAAATATAATGTCAAAATTGCCCCTCCAGTTCAGCCAGTCCAGTTCAGTCGGTCAGTCATTCAGCGGAGGTCAGTGAATTTTACCCAGCTCCGCCGGAACAAGCACATCTGGAACATGTGCGCCCCCACACCCGACATTTGGATATTCGATTTGGGTTGGGGCGGTCTGGTAGGTAGTCACCCTACTCGGGAAATATTTGTTTCAGAACGTCGACGCCCAGAGGTCTCGACCCATTCCTCTGGACCAGGTTTTCATCCTGAGTCTTTTTGTTGACAGTCCCGAAGCCCGTTGATGGCCCGCACGCGCCGAACGCAGAGGACCAACAACGCCTTGGTTCCCTCTCGACTCGATGGGGTTTGTGCCCAGAGTTTCGAGGGCGATCCGGCCGTGGACACGAGGGCAACCGGGTTCGATCAAAAATCTCGGGCCCCATCCACTCGGACCCCATCTAGCCTGACCCCACTCGAGCGACGCACAAAGCGGGGTCGTTTGCGCCGACGGTCGCGCGTAAGCTCCTCGCGTAAGCTCGCGCGTAAGGCGTAAGCGCCAGCGCCCTCGCTCCAAGCGCAGCGTGCCGCGCCAGCGGTCCGCGTAAGCCGCCGCGTAAGGTCGCTACGCCATCTCGTGCAGGACCCGTTTTTGATCGTCGCCCGTTTTGGAGGCCTCTCGTGAGGGAGGATCAATCCGTTCCAGAGCGTTTCAGAACTCCCTCAGCGCTTTCTGGAACGCTCATAGAAGGCGCCGGCGCCCGAGGCATCCTTCAGAGCCCCCCGATCTCAGAGATTCTCGCTTTGTCCTCACGCGATGTCATCCTCGTCTCGGCTTCGCCTTACCTTTAGGTCGGGCGTGTCCTCCCACAGGAGGAGTATTCAAAAATACAAAAAAAAGTCGGAGGGATTC